TTCTACAATGGTTCTATTTGCGTACCCGACCTTCCAGAAGTAAAAAGACTTATACTGTCTGAGTGTCATGACTCTGCAACTGCGGGTCACTTTGGCATTGCAAAAACTTTTGAATTAGTAGCTCGCAACTACCATTGGCCTGGAATGCGACAATACGTAAAGGACTATGTCATAGGATGCGAGACTTGTCACCGAAACAAAAGTAGTAGCCATAAACCTTTCGGTCTCTTACAACCTCTTCCTATACCAGACTCCCCATGGACCTCAGTATCAGTTGATTTCATTACGCAGTTACCACCATCGAAAGAATACAATGCTATTTGTGTTTTTGTTGATCGATTCTCAAAGATGGCTATATTTGTACCAACGGACACGCAAGTCGACGCAGAAAGAACAGCTACCCTATTCATCAACAACGTTTTCTGTCTTTTTGGTATTCCGGACGACGTAGTCTCAGATCGAGGAGTCACTTTCACTTCCAAGTTCACGCAGGCGATACTGAAAGGACTAAATGTAAAACAAAACTTATCTACAAGTTTTCACCCTCAGACTGATGGTCAAACCGAACGCGTCAACTCTATTCTTGAACAATACCTTCGTTGTTATATCAACTATCAACAATCTGATTGCAGCGAATATCTGCCTATAGCCCAGTTTGCTTATAATAATGCGTCACACAGCTCTACTGGAACCTCACCCTTTTTTGCTGTCTACGGCTACCATCCTCGGCTGTCTGTTACCCTACCTCGCTCAAATAGAAACAAGTCTCTCGCAGATGAGCGCATTAAAAAGTTACATCAATCGCACGAGGAAATGAAATTCAATATCTCTCTAGCACAAGAAAAACATAAGGAGTTTTATGACAAGTATGTGAAAGAAGGCCCAAAACTCAAAGTAGGAGACAAAGTCTGGCTTTCTTCGAAACACATCCGATCTGAAAGACCAACTCACAAGTTAGATTACAAGCGGCTAGGCCCTTTCCCAATCATTGAAAGTATAGGTTCAAGAGCATTTAGGCTAAAACTACCGCAAACTATGCGCATACACAATGTATTTCATATCAGCCTCCTAGAACCCTACAAGGAGGACAAGATTTCCGGTCGCCAACAAGAAGAACAACCGCCAATTATTGTAAATGATCACGAAGAATACGAAGTGGAGAGAATTATTGACTCCAGGGTTCGGAATAACAAGTTGCAGTATCTAGTACATTGGAAAGGCTACTCACCTATGGATCGTACTTGGGAGAAAGCTCAAAATCTCACCAACAGCAAGCAACTCATTGACAAGTTTCATAAAAGCCATCCTGATAGACCAACGGAGCCTCGCGGAGCTCGCCTTAAGAGAGGAGATTCTGTCATGAACCAAGCAAGCCTTGTTAACCTTAGCACGCTTGTCTCAGTGTTCCAACCTTTAGTTCCAAGCATCAAGTTACCAGCATCTAGTTACCAGCATCCATGGCGTAGTTTTAAGGTAACAATGCCAAGACAAACAATGCCACTTTCCCATGTACAAATGACTCAGTCCTCAGGTCATGAGGTAGAACGCATTGCCAAGCCTCGTCATGTTATGACTTAGCCCCTTCCTCACATATATTCCATGCTACCTCAACATTAGTATAAATAGTCTAGTTATTCTGTCGTTGAGTTACTTCTTCGTCAGTTATATTATCAACTTATAATATAATAAATATCTCTATATTCTCTAGCCAATTGATAAGCTTATCTTGCCTATAAAGTATTCTGCGGTCTGTCTTGTTCCTGACAATTCGACTGTTAAATATTTTGAAAGATTTATTTAATCATGTCAATATCCAAGTCATCAATGGTAACCATCAATCATACTTCTTCACTCCTTTTACGGGCGTACTGCAGGGCAGTGTCCTCAGTCCCCATCTTTACTCTATCTATATCAATTCCCTTCCACAATTACTTCGTAATTCTATCCCTTCCTCCTCTATTCCGTTACAAAACATAAACTGCTTGTTGTTTGCTGATGATATCGCTCTGATTTCTGATGCCGACAACATGACTAACCTTCTTGCAATAGCTGAACAACACTCTTTACAACTTGGCTACAGATGGTCACCGACTAAATGTGCCATTCTCACTCCTCCTACACCCCCACCTTCCTTTCCGACTTACCAGCTATACAACATCAACATACCTACCACTACCACCTTCAAATACCTCGGTATGCAATTCAACTATCTTGGGATGGATACACAACTATTCATCACCTACAACAAAGAAAAAACAAAAAAAAGTATGCACAGGATGCATGACATTGGTACTCGTGCCAATGGCTTCTCCTTACCTCTCAGCATACAAATATACAAACAATTCATCCGACCACAGATCGAATACGGTTTGTGTGTCACCAACATCAACGCCACCAACATCGCCGCTTGTTGTATACACAGCATTATTCACCCCTTCTTACACTAGTTATGCCTTAAAAGAGCAAGTATTAATATCATGTATAAATATATCTTTCAATCACAGTTTTATCCGCAGCTTCGATGGATGTCTTCTATCTTAGTTTAAACATGTTAAAGATCAGACCATCACCTAATCACAAATTGACATCTGCATCAATACCAATGGTAGACGAGGCCTGTGTCCTGATCATATAGCCAGTTCTTGTGTACCTTAGTCCATTCAACCGATTAGCTAGTGTATACACACTCAGTCCCAAATCAAGGATAATCAATTATCATACAAACAGTATAAATACAATACAAAATATAACCTTTAATAAAGCAGACTTCTTTTGGCCGTTTTGGTTCTAATCGACTTATTGATTTGACCATTTTATTAGTGATTATATCACACTGTTGTTGGTGTTGTTGCTGTTTTTGTTGATGATTTGACCACTCTTTACTGGAGTGGCAATTGGTGTGCCTTTTTGTGAGCCATTGCTGGCATCACTTGCAACTCTACTTCGCTTTTTGGGCTGGCGAGTTGCGCTGGTGGTTTTGGTAATGGTGGTTGTGGCACCACGTGTAGAGGCATCAATGGCCTGTTCAATCTCCTTTTCGACCACTGGAAAAGAAGGCTTTTCATGACACTTTGTGCATTGAAACACAGGGAGTGCATGTGATGTTTGGGTTGTGAATGAAGATATAATAGAAGATATAAAGAAAACAAAGAAATACAGTGAGACTGTTCAGTACTTCTTTATTACAAAATAAAATGATTATCCTCTAAATTATATCTTTTCCAGATTGTCTTTTATACTACCTGATTTATTGACTAATTATGATTACTGATTATTGATTACTTAACACCTTGACAGCGTGTGCCTGGGAATTGATTATGTAAATTCTCCTTTAATTCTCCTGGTTACCTAAAAGGTACAATTATGGTTTCCTTATTTGTAAATATCCATATTATCCCAGTTACCGTTATTTACTGTTATTATACAATGCTTATTTAATATTTATGATGTATAGTGCTATAAGTGATTATTCATTTATATGATGAAAGATTATTTATTATATTTTGTATTGAAAGTGCTCAGATCACCACAGTGCAGGTGTGGTTGTGTTGTTGGCAATATATCCAAGTGTGCCAAATTCAACGCAAAAGGTGCAGCTGATTAAATTATGGTACTTGAAGAATTGCTGCATGATCTGTTGAGCATGAGGCGAGAGGTCAGGGATAGACGCAGGGCGAGTATCTGACATTGTTGGGTGAATTAATTTTTTTTTTTTTTTTTTGTGCGTGTTTTTTTTAGGCTGCTTTTTTCTTGTTTTAGTAGGTGTTTTTGTTTGAGCTAATTAATTGATTGGTGTAGAAACTATATCTATTTTTACTGAAGATAAGAATGTTTTCCAAAAGTAGGTGTTGATATGGGAGAGTACGGGATGTAGGGTGTTGGTTTTAAACTCCAATTTTCTTATAAAAAGGGGATGTTTTTGACGCGCGACCTTACTCGGTTCTTTGTCGTACCGAGAAGAAGATTCAAACCCAATCCCAAACCCAGAAAGTCACGTGGTATCTCAATGGTTCAAGAGGATTCCAGAAAATAGGCTTTTTAGAAACTAACCAAATAAGACTTGACAAGTCACTTGACTATTAATCCTTGATTAATAATCATGACTTCTTGAACATTCTATAAGTCTTTATAATTCTATTTAGAACATTCTATTTTAACCTTTAGAAAAGTATATAACTGTCGTTTACACAATTTTAATAAAGAATAATTCACTTTTACTTAACTTTAAAATACTATTCGTTGTTCTAACGTCAAGACGAAAGTTCTGTCGTGGAAATGGAGAAAGAAGATAAAAAGCAAATAATAGAAGTGGAGTATAACGTGCCAGTCAGATACAACCCAAATAAGAGAAGGTTCAAGCCGTAAACGTCAAGCAACCAAAAGAGAAAGAAAGTTTGCTTGAACCTAATCCTGGAAGGCAGTTACAATACCATCGCTTACATCAGACTCGTCATTGATAGTACCTTACCTTATACTTACTTTATCAATACACAGACACAGACGTCACTGCCTTCTAGAACAGCTTTCCAGTAATCTCATTGGTTGAAACCTTCTCTTGAATCACGTGACCATTACTGCCGAAACTAAAGAAATTATCTAAACGACAGTTCTTAACCTCGCACGGTTGGTTAATGCTTAACATTTAAATTCTATCAATATTCGCATATTTGTGATATAATCGCTAATAGAATGGTCAAATCAATAAGTCGATTAGAACCAAAACGGCCAAAAGAAGTCTGCTTTATTAAAGGTTATATTTTGTATTGTATTTATACTGTTTGTATGATAATTGATTATCCCTGATTTGGGACTGAGTGTGTATACACTAGCTAATCGGTTGAATGGACTAAGGTACACAAGAACTGGCTATATGATCAGGACACAGGCCTCGTCTACCATTGGTATTGATGCAGATGTCAATTTGTGATTAGGTGATGGTCTGATCTTTAACATGTTTAAACTAAGATGGAAGACATCTGTGATGTTTTGATAATAGAGAGTTATATGATAAAATAATGTAGAGACAAAGGTTGATACTTTGAGACTGTTTTTTACAATTTTATTCTTGTTCTTTCTGATTATAAATTATTCTAGCATATTTATATATGAAGAGATGTCGGAGTAAGTAGTAGTAGAGTTCATGCAAATGACTGAGTCTCTATTATCATAGACTACTTTAAATTAATTAAATAATGTAAATTATGAATTTCGGTTATGAGTCTCGATCTATTAAAAGATACATTGTCTTATTCAGTACAAGAGGTTCTTTTATATCTATTTCTGATGTAAATTGATTATGATATATTTTAGTATGTAATTGAAGACTTATTTAATGTTAGATCATCACAACATCCATCGAAGCTGCGGATAAAACTGTGATCAAAAGACATATTTATACATGGCATTAATACTTGGTCTTTTAGGACATAACTAGTGTAAGAAGGGATGAGTAGGCTGTGTATACAACACTAATAATGATGAAAGATTTTTGATGTTTCTTACGTTGGAGCAGCAGTTTATGTTTACTGTTCTATGTTCGAAGGTCTTGTGGTGATCTGAGCGCTTTTCAATACAAAATATAATAAATAGTCTTTCATCATATAAATGAATAATCACTTATAGCACTATACATCATAAATATTAAATAAGCATTGTATAATAACAGTAAATAACGGTAACTGGGATAATATGGATATTTACAAATAAGGAAACCATAATTGTACCTTTTAGGTAACCAGGAGAATTAAAGGAGAATTTACATAATCAATTCCCAGGCACAAGCTGTCAAAGTGTTAAGTAATCAATAACCAGTAATCACTGTTGTGAACATATAGAACCTATATACATATTACAAGTAAATATCAGGCTTTATTATCACGTACAGATATTCATGGCTAAGTGACCAGAATACAGATACAGTAGCTGTAATAGATCTTATGCTCGCTTCATCTATTCATCCTGAAGAGATTGATTCTAATCCAATGATAAACCAAGAGACAACTTAGATCGGTGGTAACCGACTCAGTAACTCTTTTCACTCAGGCCTTATCATGATGGATAAACTATTGAGGTCAACAATGCTTGATCCGATTTGACGTGACAATGAAAATGACAAGATGCTAAAATAGTTTACTGAAATAATTTTTACATTGTCCTATCTCAGATTAAATCCTACCTGATTGGCTGAAGCAAGTATATTTCTAAGATATGTCCATTGACAGTCTGTTCCTGATCCATATAAACTAAAGTAGTTCCATTTCGATTCCTTTGGTAAGAAGATTAGTTTATCCGATCTCAAAGATATAAATACCTAAAGAATGAATAGCTAGAAAATCAGTCATATTTTTGGATAATAAACCTATACAAGTTCTAATCGACTTCTTTGTTTTTTATCTTCTCTCTTACAACATCACAACAATCACAATTAGTCAATAAATCAGGTAGTATAAAAGACAATCTGGAAAAGATATAATTTAGAGGATAATCATTTTATTTTGTAATAAAGTACTGAACAGTCTCACTGTATTTCTTTGTTTTCTTTTCTATTTTCTATTATATTTCATTTCACGACATAAACACCGCACAGTCAAATCTTCCACGCTTTTTCTTCTGCTTGCTCAAATTACTAACCACCTAAGATCTGCTATTTGTATATATATTGCCCGACTTATGGGATTGTCTTACAATAGTATTATTAGCTTGATATCTAATAAAAAATTAACATTCACCTTAACCAACCGCGCTTCCGATATTAATTGTATGTCAACACATATTTAACAGTTTATATCCGCAATTGTCCATTCCGGAAATGTACCAAACATGCATTATCCAACTCGAAGTCCATTTTTAAATACACGCTGCTCGGTTCAGCTTTCCGGACCTGTTGACATCTATTGTTACTATCTCTACCTTAACATTGACATTGACATTGAATATCATCTACATGATCCAACATGCTTTTTTGACTATAAGCATCAGCCTACATTGTGCAAACTTAAAGATGTCATTATTGATACAAACTATATCCAAGTATTATGATAATAATATTGTTTTCTATAGTCAACAAAAGAGGATTTATGTCATATTTATCCAATAGCACATCTTTATTTTAATTGCGTTTTAAAAAGTAATCCGCATCTATTTTTATACATTTAAAAAATAAAAATAGACATGGGTAAAGCCAATCGCTTTCAATGCTTCATTTTGTTTAAAAAAAAAGAGGGGGAATAAATCATTTAATATACATTCTATTTGCTGATTCTTTCTTGATAACGAACCCAACCATAATAACCTGATCCAACAAGGGCTAAGATGATACCAAGACCATTCTGGAATTTAAATTTAGTAAAAAGATCGCCTATCTTTTCCTTTTTTATCACTTACCAAAGCAGAGATAGGGTTTTGGAAGATCATGGCTGCCAATACAGTTTGAACACAAGACTACACAGGATAGCAAATTTAAGTAAAGCTTCATCCAATATGAGTCGAAACTTACCTTGGCAGTACCACTGATGGTGTTTGTCAAGGCTGAAGTGTACTTGACCTGCAAGAACATGGCAATATTAATACCAAATCCGGTAATACCAGTAATAGTCTAAAAAAGTAAAATAAATTTAAAAAAAAAACGTGTCATCTAGATCGTTGCTTACCATTAAGATCCAAAAGTTAAGAGAGTAAATCACATCAGAAGTGGAAACAATTTCGGTGATTTCGCCAGAGAACAAGAGGAGAGGAGAAAGGAAGATAATGGCAAGTGTGGTGTTGTAGTGAAGTAGTTTCCTAACAAATGGTTTAGTTTGAAGATACGGGAAAATGTTTCTGTCTTACCATTGATTATTATCAACAACAGCCAATGTCTTTTGGACATAAATACCATAAAGAGCAACAAAGGCAGAAGAACCAACACCATAGATGACACCAGCCCAAGAAAAGTTGATCTCACCATAAGAACCAATGACGAAACCCATAAAGACAATACCACAAGCTACCAGAGCTGCAAACGAAGTTTTCTTACCAAGAATGACATAGGTGAATAAAATGGTAAAGTTAATCGATAAGGATCTTGCAACCTATAGACAAAATACATCAGGACCTTGTCTCCCAAAACCACCCCTTTCCTCCTTCTCCTGATTTCTTACCTGATAAAAAGTAACTTCGACGTATTTCAAACACAAGTTGTTCAAGACTAACATACCAACATAAACAAAGGTCAAAGGAGCTACTCGCTTAGCGATTATTGTATTGAATTCATAAGGTGGAATGATACTAAATAACTTGTACCTATAGACAACTCAATAACGTGTCTATGTATCTTTAACTGACTTACCCTTTACCAAGTTGAGCCCAGACAATCAAAAGACCAAGAGCAACCACAAGTTGATACCAAGTAACAAAGAGAGCATAGGGAAAGTCAGTGGAGCCACTAAGGATGATCTTGTTCAAAAAGACAACAGAGAGAGAGATAATAAAGTAAAAACTAACAACGGCAGCAATAAGTGGCAAAGGGTGTTGCTTTTCTGCTCTTGATTGAACAGGTTGAGGCAAGAAAGGCTCTTCACTCTCATCAATGTCTTTACGACTCATTTGGATGTCATTATTAGAGGAACTCATACTTGCACTTGTAAAAGAAGAAGAAAGGGATAAAAGGAGGAAATATAAGAAAAAAAATTGGGCTTATATATATATATATATATTTATTATTTGTGTCAAACCACAGCTTGAAACTCAGAATGATAAAGGTTTTTGTTGTGGCGGTTATTTTTTTTCTGCTACGACGTACTTCTTTTTTCTTTTTCTTCAAAAATGCGTGTGTTATGTGTGGCTGAAAAACCAAGTGCTGCGAAAAAGATCGCCGAGATCTTGTCACAAAGACAATATGATACAGTAAGTATATCTTGATATGACAAACGACTTATGTTTGCATAGCGAAACACACAAGATCAGCACGTCAAAAACTATTCTTTTACATACAACTTGAACAACAGACCTACTCAGTTCACAATGACAGCGCTCAAGGGCCATTTGTTCGAAACCCGCTTTGAAGGACCCATTAACCGTGACTGGAATAGTTTTGCACTAGAAGACTTATTTCATGCACCTATCACAAAAATCGTACCTGAAAATTCTCGAAATTTGGCTGACAACATAAAGCAACAAGTCATGCGTGCTGATGTCTTGTTTATATGGACAGATTGCGATCGAGAAGGGGAGGCTATTGGTGGAGATTTGGCAGATCTGTGTCGACAGACAAAGCCAAACATCCCCGTCTGGCGAGCTCGTTTCTCAGCCATGCAAGATGCGTAACGTATTCTCGGACAAACAAACAAACAAAAAACTTTACTGATCCACATACACACATAGAGAAATCCATCATGCTGCACAAAACCATGCAGAATTAGACATGAAACAAGTAGAAGCTGTACGTGCTCGATCAGAACTCGATTTACGCATCGGTGCAGCATTTACTCGGCTACAAACGATCAATTTGCGTTCCTATTTTGTCTCGTCAGATGGAAGTAAAGTCATTAGTTATGGCAGTTGCCAGTTTCCTACTCTCGGCTTTGTCGTGGATCGATATTTACAAGTCGAGAATTTTATACCCGAACAGTTCTGGAAGATCAACATGACTTATGTTCAAGAAGGCGCACAGAACAAGCTGAAGACAACATTTAATTGGCGAAGAGAACACTTGTTTGATAGATGGGCATGTTTTATTTTGTACGAAAAATGCTTTGAGAAGAAAGTAGCCACAGTGACCAAAGTCAAATCGAAACAGACGTCAAAATGGAAACCATTGCCCTTGACGACTGTTGAGATGCAAAAAGTGGCTTGTCGTGTCTTAAATATGTCTGGTAACCATATCATGACATTAGCAGAAGGATTGTATACACAAGGTTTAATCAGTTATCCGAGAACAGAAACAGATCAATTTGATGCACAGTTTGATTTTATGACATTGATCAACATGCAGACACAAGATCCTCAATGGGGAGAATATGCACAATTGTAAAGTGAGACGATATGTAGTGTATTTGCTAACTCTGTATTTAGAATACGGGATGGTGAATTTCAACGACCTAGAAATGGAAAAAACAACGATAAAGCACACCCGCCTATTCATCCTACAGGCTACGATCAACGACTTTCAGGCGATGCCAAACGACTTTATGAATTTATTGTGCGTCGATTCCTGGCCAGTTGTTGGAAAAATGCCATTGGGCATGAAACAACGGTGGAAGTCAAGATGGATACTGAATATTTTGATACAAAGGGACTGGTCATTCTTGAAAGAAACTACTTGGAAGTCTATCCTTATGATAAATGGAGTGGGAATGAAATCCCTGAATTTCAAGAAGGCCATGAATTTGTGCCTGATACACTTGAAATGATGTCTGGTCAGACAAGTCCTCCTCGTCTATTGACCGAAACAGACTTGATTAGCATGATGGAAAAGAATGAAATTGGCACCGATGCTACGATTGCAGAACACATTCAAAAGATTCTTGATCGAGAATATGTGTATAAGGAGAATCAGTATTTTAAACCATTGACATTGGGTATTGCACTGATTAAAGGTTATGATCAAATTGGCTTTGAGTCCAGTTTAAGTAAACCCTTTTTACGGCGACAGGTAAAGCATGATGTGTACGTCAGGTTGTGCTCATATATGTTGTTAGATGGAAGCAGATTTGAAATCGATTTGTCAAGGTACTATTCAGCCAAATGAAGTACTAAGACGTAGTGTGTATCGATACAAGGAAATGTTTATGCAACTCCAAATGGATTTTACTCGGATCAGAAGTTCCATGGATGCTCATTATAGAGAAGTAGAAGACAGACTCCATCGTTCTCATCGAACAGGAGGATCAGGTCCTTTTAATACACCACAAAACACGACAAGCAATAGAGGAAGAGGAGGATCCGGAAGAGCACGGGGAAGTGGTACAAGAGGTAGAGGTACAAGAGGCAGAGGTGGACGAAAGAATGCTTCCAATGGTTTCCCAGCACAGCCTCCTAGAGACCAAGCCCCTTTATGTAGCCATGGCAAACCTAAAGTCCGACGCACTGTCCAGAAAGCAGGTCCAAATAAAGGCAGAGAATTCTATGTGTGTGGTGAATCAGATCAATGCGAGAATTCATTTGAGTTTATTGATGGGCCCACTACAATAACCACAACTAACAACTCTACATCAGTACCTCCCTGTCAATGTAATAAGCCAAGTGTAAAGCGTACTGTGACAAGTCAAACAGAAAATCATGGCCGACCTTTCTATACCTGTGCAGCAGGCAGAGATCAAGGCTGTCGTTTTTTTGAATGGGCAGATTAGATTTCTTTCTCTATATACCATGTATATATAATAACAGAGAAAAGAAAATAATAATAAAAAAAAGTGTTTATTGTTCGCATTGCTTGTTTGCCCCTTGTAACCATTTATCAAACACAAGTGAACAATCAAACATGGGTTTATCAAGTTTTTCATTGACTTTGTTATGTTGTCTACATAGCCATGCACTTAATTTCTTTCGATTGCCTACACGAACAGGTTCTTGTTCCATGTAGATTTTAAATTCTTTCTAGCAAGAGATATCAATGAAAAAAAAAAAGAAACGCCAAAAATGATGCTTACACCAAAACAAGGATAATTGTCTATTATCGTTGTTATAAATGCACGCATAGAATCCATTTGTGAAGGTGCTGGTCTATCTGGATAATATGCTGCAGTTGTATGCAATAATGTCCATGCTGCTCTACCAAGGGCTACAGCATCTGCAGGACAGTTTTCTTCTCGCCATGAACTATCTAGACACTCATGAGCCAAAAAAAAAAAGTAAAGATCGTCAAAACAACTCACCATTAGGCGAAGCTTCATGTGGAGTACTCATAGAAGAAAAAAAAAAAATACAAAATAAATTATATGGTATCAATTATTTTTATTTTAAAATTAGAAGGGTTCTTTTTCATCGTCGGCAATGATAAGTTCATTACCGTCTGAATGACCGTCAAGGATATCTTGTTCAGCCAAATAATTCGTAATATCAATCTTGGCCTTGTCAACATCAATAAACCAGATAATGATAAGAGAAAGAACAAACAAACCAAGCACAAAGGGCCAACCTTTCCAGAGATTATCTGTGTATTGAGTAATAGCACCAATGACAACAGGACCAATCCAAGAAGAACCCTTGTTGATCACACCAAACAGACCAAAGAAGAGGTTTTCTTTGCCTCGAGGCACAAGTTCGGCCAACATGGTATTTTGCCAGGCCCAAATAGGAGCAGTGAAAAGACCAGACCAGACATAAAAGACCCAGAGTTCCCATGTGGTACGAATACCAAAGTTTCTGAGACCAATACCAAAGCATCCCCAGACAGGCACAACACCTGTCAAGAGAATAATCAGCATCAAATTCGTCTTGGTACGGACACCAAATTGCTTAGAGATCCACAAGAACAGTAAACAACCCAAGATAGAAGTAACAGCAGAAGCCAAATTAAGAATAGTGATTTGCTGCGCACTAAAACCCGTGATTTGGGATTGTGTGATGGCAATCATTTGATTCATGGTCGAGACAGCATCTGCAAACATAAAGTAGGCAAAGATATACAAGAAAAGGTATCTTAATTTACGGGCTTCTCGGATAGCGATAAAGACAGACTTCCAACCAATAGTAAAGTGGTTAGAGCCTTCAGGAAGAGAAGGGCCACGTCTTCCGCGAGGCACAGCAAGGAAATAAGGAACAGCATTTATCACCCAAAAGACACCACAGACAGCAGTCGAGATAAAGTTGAACAAGGGCACATTACCCAAGACATGATCGACACCACTAGGGAAATCATAATTAGTCCAGCTAATAAAAGAGATACCAGACAAGAGAGCGGTCATGATCAAGAAACCAACGTTAGAAAAGACAGTAGAGATAGCAGAGACATGGTTTCTCCATTTCTCAGCAATGTAGGCAGCTTCGTCTCTGTCCAGATCGGGATCCGCTCTGGCTTTTCTGACAATAGGCAAGTTGTCACTCAAAGTAGGGAAAGCAGCAGCATAAAAGACCAAGGAAGTACCATAAGAAATTAAGGCAAGGATATAGACAGCCAACATGGAGTTCCATTTTGAACCATCATCGTCAAAGAAAGCAATAGGCACAATCTGAGTAACACAACCAACGATAGTCGTCAAAAGCAAAATGTATGTATTCCATCGACCATAATCAGCAAGACTACCAAAGGTAGTGAACAAGACAAATTGGATAGAGAAAGAGATGGCTTGCGTATAAAGTGTCATGGCAGAAACAGGAATGCCACTGGTACCAGCCCAAGGAACATAACAATTTCTGTCAGCATCCTGAAGATCACAGCCTCTTACATTGGGTGTCTCGGGATAAAAACCACCTCTGTAAGCTAGGTATTGAAGAATGTTGGGCAAATAACTATTGATAGTGTAGCCATTATCCTATAGAACATATGAGTACAATGAACTGATGTTTTTTCTTAAAAAAAAAAAAATACATACACCGTTGTAGTAAAGATAATAACCCCATAGTTCCCATTTACTGGCAGGAGGTTGAGAAAGAACTGCTTTTCCTTTGTCGGTGCTAGAGTCGATCTCGTCATCTGAATGATTGAAGGGCGAAGCAAATAATCCATCCAACATTTAGATTTTATTGTGAAGAAAAGAAGATACAATAGAAACAGACCAAGACAGAGATATATAAAGCTTAAATAATCATACAAAGATATTTTTATAAAATGAACTAACATCAAAATGGTTACTTGTCCTCTTCTCATGAAAAACTTAATGTCAAGTATGACAAAGAGGTAGAATAAAGAATCAACACTCATGTAAAAGGGCTTATTCATCATCATTTGCTTCTTATTATCATCACTGAGCAAGGACCATCCAACAAAGCAAACACTTATTTTTTGTTTGTCATTTCTATTTGACATTTTATTTTTCTTATTATGATAAAATAGACAGGCATAAAGCTAGAGAGATGGTGCGACACTTATGTGCAACTTCATATGAGAAATATAAATATATGCATCAAATCAGAAGAATGATAATTTAACAACTGTATATGTTCTAAACCTGTGCACAGATTCTTCTGAGTTATAAGCGTATTTGTTACACTTGTTCAGGAAAATTCGTTTTGATTTTATTTGGCTTAAACCCGGATTTATCGTTATAAATCTCATTTTGTGGTAACGTATCAAACTCCTGAATAATAATAGAAAAAGGAAGGGGAGAGAGAGAGAGAGAGAAGACGAGAAAAGTGATTGACGAAAGAAAGGATTTGTTTGAATCAAAATCTAGACAGGAGAGAAAGACTGTGCCCTCTACTCAAGTAACACAAACTCAAAACAGACAGCGGAATATTCCGCAATTTAAGCGTGATAAAACCATGAATCAAAAACCAGTATTCAAGTTGATTTGAGATGTTGTTTGTACGCAACTCGGAGTTGATATGGAATGACAAAATTTATTAGCAGAGATCAGAGTTGTTTGCTTAAAGGAAAAAAACGAGCAGTGTAACGAGAATAATGTGTTATAATTGATCTCGTTGAGTATGTTTATATATAGGTTTATTTGTCATAGCTTATGTCATTGGCTGTACGTTATTCTATACTGTTGACACTAACCAAGAGCACTGTCTCAGAAAAGTACATTTTAAAGGCCTAAATATGCAGGTAACTCTGTGAAACTCAGATGTCATACATATAGTTCTTTATTTTAAGCCAAGATTTGATCAATGGCATTGACAAGTTCTTGAGATTCCTTGACATAATCAATGGGTTTAGCATCAACACAAGAGTATTTAATACGAGTAAGATCCTATGGTTAGCATAGTTAATGGTGACATCAATATGCAAATATCAACTTACATTAAATGTTTCTTGCTTGACTCGAACCTTGAAATTATAAGTTTGGAAATGTGATTTGGTAATAACTTGGTGAGCAGCAGTTGCATTATTCTCTTTCAATTCCATCAATTCATTAGCAGTCTTCTTCAGCACAACAAGGCCAAGATCATCAAAGCCATTAAGGTAGATTTGTGAAGTAGCATCTTCTACACTCATGGTCAAGATGTATCTGTATTCAGGCTTAGGGAATGTCTTTTGACACTTTTCACAACGCCAGCCAGATTCTTCCAAGAGTGTCTTCTTTTTACATTCAGGACAACCAGGATAAGCAAAGTTCTCATTCTTGATAAAGACAACAGTACCACGGAAAGAAAAGTAATCAGGCTTATCGCCCATACCCAAGTTTTGAGATTTAGCGTCTTGTAAGGTAATCTTGACATTGGAGCCACGGTATTCAGCATTACCATTGCCTGAAGTGAAGCTTTCAATTTGAGCAGTACTGCCTCTTTCATTATACCATCTGCGCAAGTGTTGTACTTCAGTCATGTTTGGATTGATCTTGAAAGTACTGTTACTGCCTACAGATAAAGAGCGACCACTAAAGTCATTCACACGAGCACCCTTACAGACAATGATGGGATAATCAGTAGCATTGAATTCATCAGCTTGTGTATCCCATAATGTCAATCTGATACTTCTGGCAGAATCATCAACAAGCGTAAGTTCTCTTTTCTTGGACTGTTTATGTGTTAATTGATATACTGATATCCCACTCAAACTTACAGGTTTTCCGGTCATTTTAGAAACAATCTCAGAGATACCAGCATCTTCAGTCACAACACCAATGACATCTACAGCAAAAGTTAGATTTTCCTGCCTTCTTGTTGGTATCGATCTCACTTACCAGCATAACTTCCCTTTTCATATTTATCAAGATCAGCAATTTTAACAAAGTTATAGCTCACTTGAGGAATATTACCACTTTCAGGACACTGTACAGACAAAAGTGTAAGGCAAGCAAACAAACAAATATAAAAAAAAAAAGTCAACTTACAGCTTCAATTTCAGTGCCATGTTCAAAGCTCAATTCATATTCATTGTCCAATGTAGAGAATTGCTTTCTAGCCATAGAGACACGGGCTTTGGAAATATAGTAAAGCTTGCCTTCTTCAAGAGCATTATACAAGCGATCGACTTGATCATTGAATGCAGTAGCCTTGATTTCGCCTGATTGATCAAGAAGGTTTACACTAAAGAGTTGACCATCACCACGGGCATTGTGCCATTTCTTGATAGGGGATTTTTGACTGACACGGGCCTTGATATGCCATCTAGAGACGAGTTAGAAGAATCAGATTGAATCACTCGCTTACCTTGTCTGATAGGGATTCAAGTTTCTGATGGGAGTAAGGTTAGCTTCAAGTTGCATGTTGGTAGTATATCCTGAGTTTTGATTGCTTGAATAAGACGAAGACTCTGTTCTTGTAGGAGTCATGGTAGTAGCAGTAGTAGTGGTACTGGAAGCAGTAGCAGTAGTAGTGGTACTGGAAGCAGTAGCAGTAGCAGCAGCAGCAGCTTGGTTATCAAGACTCACAGGGGAACCAATCTTGCTTTCAACGTCACTTTGGATCACATCAAAGTTCAACAAGACTAAGATTCTATCATGGAATCAACTGTGTGAGTTTTTGATCTATGCGCAGTATTATTATTATTATTGTTTTTTACCTTCTGTTTTGGAGAGGATTACAAACACCTTCCGTGAGTCTAAGGATAGTGTATCTTTTCAAGGTACCATCATTGACTGCATTATCAAATGATTGACTCAACATGCCTATGAAAATTTAGTTTTATATGACAAACAAGGCAAGGCTTACCTTGCATGTGGTGAACACCGTCAGAAATAATAACTCTATCAAGTCATGTTAGTCTAATGAAGACTACGCAGCATGCAATTTACCTGTGACGAATTCCACCATTGATTTGGACTGACTTGAGGTTCAAGAGTTGAAGAACACAGTTATTGACAAGAGGATTGGTCTTTTCGTCATTATAGATTGCCTTGATAGCACCTGTAGTTAACTTAGCCATAATGGTAAAGAGATAAAAAAAATCAATCAAGGAACGCGATTATTATTTTTTTCGCGCCAGTGACCGCGCATTAAACGCGTTCAACAAAGTTGCTTGGCTGACTCTTAAAAACTGCGCAACTATACTGATTGACTGCGAACTTACTTTGTGGAAAGAGATCACTTATAGGTTTTGAAAATGATACTGTTCAGCGTTTCAATAAGCCTAAAGTATACTGGCTTTATTCTACACAGATAAATTTGTTTATTTCATTCATATCTATTTGATATATTGGAGTTTTCTTTGTGTTCACTATATCCAAAGCTGATCTTTGAGGTCTTGGAAGTCCAGAGGGTCTCTTTTGCAACAATTTCAGTGCAAAATGAACTTTAATGTGTGTCATTGAGCTTATACAGTCCTTTCTGAGATCTTTGTCCCTTACTCTTTAGTAGACCCACTGATTTTTCTTTCGTTGCCAAATTCATATGTATCCTCTGTGAAACTCTCACTAATACACTTACTCGTACTATGTTTTATTTTATGCGTATTCAGTAGTATCAAACCTTCACATATACTCATTATGGATGTCATTGGAGATTTAAAATGATAGAAAAAAATAGTTCTTTCACTTCATAACCTAACTCATAACTTGACATCCCTCTCTAAAGGGCGGTGCAACAACGACAATACACCCAAAACTCGGTTGCAAGTAGCGGCTATAACTATTGTGTCTGCTGATCAGTCGTCATCTCTGGCTTCTACTTCTTCATCTGAACGCACTTCTGGCTCTTCACAGTTGAAATATGCTAGTACTAACACTCAAATACCATTGCGCCTTATATTGTCGGTCTGGAAAAAGATAGTTGCTTTTATTTTGTTGCCACTTAATAAAGTATATGTGTGAAATTCACTAATTCTTTACCTTTTCAATGTTTCTGCGTGTCTGTCATTCTAGAGCCAAGATTTAACAGTTTTTCTCTTTTGATCCTGCTTTTGCATACAACCCTTCAATAGAACTGTTAGTACACAATTAAAAAGAGTCATACACAGACAGTCTTTAAGCCAATAAAATGAGGACCATTATTTCTTTTTGTGGCAGATACTTGCTTATGATCAATAAATAATGTTACAGCAAAGATTGGCTATAAAATTTATGGCCACTGATTTTGGCTATTGGTTTAATCACACTCAATAAGCCTGTTTTCCATATTATGTAAGAAAAAAGAAAAGACGCGTTATCAATTATTTCAAATACTAGTGTATATATTTTATTGAATAAAAAGATAAAAAAGAAACTGGTACTTTAGCCAAATACTGTGAGTATTTGTTTCCAGGAACTAAGACGAGGACCTAAACCAGTTCAATTGAGTTCCCAAAAAGATGGTGCGCGTACGCACAAAGCCCCTCAGACCCCCACTATATAGTATTCACACTATCAAAAAAAATGGAATACCTATCATTTTCAATAGATGATCCACTCAAATGAATGAATGGACGAACACTATATATAAAAAGCCATTACTCTGTCCGATAGTCGACCCTAAATGAATAGAGCTTGCCACGAATAGACAGATACCCCTTCAAAAGTGAAGCTTAACTTTAGAAAGACTACTCTAGCCATCAGACTAAAATAAGCCTCTCTAAAGGGCATTCACAAAAGAAAAGGCGAATGACTATCAATCCCAGTAACCTTCACTACCGCTTTCTAGCACTATCACAGTAGCAAACGACCAAGACTGCTGCAATACCCTAATAGCCACACACATACAAAGAAATGAGACTACCAAGATACCACGAATAGGGTTAAACTTATTACTATCCGATAGGTTCCCCTCCCTCCCCACAAGTGAGAAGAAGGTGCCAAGAAAAGATAGTAGCCTTCCAGCGTTGGGAATATTTGGACTTGGACTGCCAGTGCGCATAACTAAGATGGAATACCCCCTCGGACAGGACCATAAGCTAACCCTCTACACGCGTCTGTTTTACTCTCTATCAAATTCGGCAAAGACCCGTTTAGTGAAAAAAAGGCAGACTATCTTGACAGAGAATGCACTTGTACCCAGGTGGTAAATCCCCCCCTCAAGTACGTTTGGTACATTATCCTGAAAGGACAGAAAACAAACACGCTGCAAAAAGAAAGCAAAGAAAAAAAGGGTGGGAACCTGTTTTTATATTCTGAGAAGTTCCCTGACCATTATTCAGGCTCAGTTATACTCAGCTAACTTTCTAAACCCCTGTTTTAAAGGTTTATTGAGGGCTTTAGAGGTATAAAGACTGCTAAACAAATACAGAAACATATCATCTATGTTCTCCTAGTGTATTGAGTTGACACAGTAATAATAGCACTATTTTATATAGCAATCTTTTTTTCATATAGCTGCATAATCATGAATTTTGTTTGCCGCCAAGGCTTACAAAGTAGCAGTATCAGACATATACAGCTGTAGCTGGATCCAGACCATATTACTCCAAAAGACTCAGAATACATTACCTTTTAGGGATCAGAAGCTTAAAAAGCAATATTCGATCTCTCTAATCAAGTCAATATAATCTACGCTTTGAGAGACCTTAACAATGAGGCGTTATTTAGATACACAAACGTGGAGGCGTCTGATTTTTCTCTATCCTTTTATTTTTTTTTTTTTTTTTGCTTGTTTAATCTACTCTTTTGGCCTTATTTAATTGGATAAATATGACCTTTTTTTTTTAGAAAAGAGGAATTCTGACATTTTCAATATAAATTGCGCGATTCTTTAAATACAATAAGTTTTTTCTTTTGTTTATCTTCAAAAATGGCTCAAAAGCATAAGCTTCATTTTGATACACTTCAGTTACACGCTGGTCAATCCCCTGATCCAACAACAAATGCATGCGCCGTTCCAATTTACGCTACTTCATCCTTTGTCTTTAATGATACACAGCATGGTGCTGATGTCTTCGCTCTTCGAACTAGTGGCAATATCTACTCAAGGTATTTATTTCGATTTATCATATCCATTGACAATTCCTTCATAGAGTGACAAATCCTACCAATGCTGTATTTGAACAACGCATTGCTGCACTTGAAGGTGGTGTTGCAGCTACCGCTGTTTCGTCAGGTAAAAGAAAACAAATAATAAGAGCAAGTAGACTGAACAAAATAATAATAATAGGTCAAGCAGCTCAGTTTTTGACTATTGCTACACTTTGTAAAGCAGGTGACAACATAGTGTCGAGTGTAAGTCTGTATGGTGGCACCTATAATCAATTCAAAGTGTTGATGCCTCGCTTGGGTATCCATACTCATTTTGTGCAAAGCAATGATCCTGAAGAGTTCCGTAAAGCCATTGATGAAAATACCAAATTGATTTATGTGGAAAGTATTGGTAATCCTCAATTTACAATTCCTGATTTTAGAGCATTGGCTGATGTTGCGCATGAAGCGGGTATTCCTTTTGTGGTTGACAAGTAAAGTGATAAGATTACAGAGACACAATACTAAAAACCAATGGGGTGTGTGTAGTACGTTTGGTGCAGGTGGATATATTGTACGACCTATTGAATATGGTGCTGATATTGTTGTTCATTCTACTACTAAATGGATTGGCGGGTAAATCTCTCTCTCTTTTTTTTTTTTTGTATAACTAAACAACATAGTCATGGCACTACTATTGGGGGTGTTGGTAAACAATATATTATCTAGGCTGTATATATAACGTATTTTATAGTGATTGATGCTGGTCGCTTCAATTGGGATAATGGCAAATTTCCTGAATTTACAGAACCATCACCAGGATACCATGGACTTCGATTCTGGAAAGAATTTGGCAAAGAAGCCTTTATTACTCGACTTCGAACTGAGTCATTACGAGACATTGGTGCTTGTCAAAACCCATTTGCTTCCTTCTTGTTGCTTCAAGGTCTCGAAACTCTATCACTTCGTGTTCAGCGTCATCTGGATAACACATTGGTATTGGCTGAATGGCTTCAGAAGAGACAGGATGTTGCTTGGGTGTATTACCCAGGTCTTAAAGACCATCCTTCTCATGCTCTTGCCAAAAAATACTTGCATGGCTTTGGTAGTACCTTGACCTTTGGTGTAAAAGGATCTCTCAAGGTAATAAACACATATTCGAGGCATAACTTATTCTGTATCTTTTGCTAGGTATTTATTGAATCTGTCAAAATTGCTTCTCATTTGGCTAATGTGGGTGATGCAAAAACACTTGTGATTGCACCTGCATTAACCACACATCAACAATTGAGTGATGAAGAACAAGCCTCAACTGGTGTAACAAAGGATATGATTCGAGTTTCCGTAGGAATAGAGTAAGTTATTGTCATTCACAATACAGATATCAACTATCTTATAGGCATATTCAAGATATTCAATGGGATTTCGATCAAGCATTAAACAAAGCCAACACAGTTGTGTAAAATCAACATGTCGTCATGATTTAAACAAACTTATAAATTTTATTCTCCTCCTTTCTTTGTCTTTTCTCTTTTGTTTTGTTTTTTTTTTTTTGTTCATGTCAAAACCTCCTTCACCATTAGTTTCCAAGATAGCAGGAATCATTCTGCCTTTTGTGGTGTTCGGTTTATTAGGCTATACATGGTATGTTTATATATTTCGTATTTGTAGTAAGTACCCAAAAAAAAAGGGTAGAATTCTATTGGCATTAATTTCAAATCATCAAAGCCCATATATTGCTTACTTTTGATAAAACAGCACAAGCAGGTAAACTGATAGTTTATACCCACTAGGATGTTACTGAATCATACTAGTGATATTCATGATTATTGCCAGTTTCTTTTGGATCATGGCATTATTAAGCTATACTCGAATACTTTGTACATCACCAGGCAAACCTGCTAATGTAAACTATGTCAACATATTTCAATACTCACCCCTCCCCTTTTTTTTTTCTCTCTCTCTCTCTCTCTCTCTCTCTCTCTGTCAATATAGAGACTCGCGACTGAAGAAGCAAATCAAGGAGTTCATTTGCCTCAGTATTATTACTCACCCAAACTATTCCATTGGCCTACTTATACCATGCGACCAATGATGGATGCTCAAGACAAAATCACCCCTATTATTTCTGTCAGTCGTCAAGATGGTCAACCTAAATACTGTCATATGTGTGAATGCTATAAACCTGATCGAACTCATCATTGTAGAGAGTGCAATACATGTGTCTTGAAAATGGATCAGTAAGTTTCCTCTCCTTTTTTTTTATAGTGTATTCATGCGTATTAGTCATTGTCCTTGGGTCAGTGGCTGTGTTGGATTTAGAAACTACAAGTTCTTTTTCTTGTTTGTGCTGTACACTGGCTGTTATGGGTTATGGGTTTTTGTTACTTCTCTACCTGTGGTTATTACAGGTATTCAAGATATGGTAATGAGGGTCCCCTTTTTTTGATAAGTTACTTATTCTTTATGTAGCATACTGATTTGGATCCTCAATGGATAGCATTGATTATCATGTAAGTAAATAGATAGATAGAAATATGTATCAATGTTGCCTAGTGCTTTTGTGTTTGGTATGACTGTCTGTGGATTTTCAGGTGTCCATGCTTACTATATCATTCGAAATGAGACCACCATTGAACATTTAGGAGACAGAAACAATGAACTTCGAGTTGACTTTGACATGTCAGGTCAGAATTTTGAGGTTGTATCTGTCTCTCCTTTGGATAATTTATGGGAACGTACAAAGATGGAAAACTGGAAATCTGTGATGGGCAATCATCCTCTTGGATGGTTTGGTAAGTACATACATGTCACAGCGAGATAACTCATAGCATCATTAGTCCCTATTAAGCGTGGTCCTGGTGATGGTACTGTCTTTCCTTATAATGACTATATGTTTAACAATATTGTCAACAAAGCAGTCAGTCAACGCCGTTCAATGGATACCAGCCATTATGGACAACCAACGACGTATTATGAGCCTGAAAGGCTTTCTTCTATTGAAAGCACAACTCAAATGACCTCTTGATTGTAATAGTATACCTTGTACATACACGTTTTATTATATAAATAATATGATTATCGCAAGTTATAAGCTTCAGAAATACGACGTAAAGCACGGGCATGAGCAGCACGATCACCTGCAGGCGCACTACTTGCCAATAAAGAATACACCAGTTGGGCTAATCCATCTTCATCTTCTGGTAACTCAATATGTCTACGCTTAGCAAAACTTGAATTAGCATGTAAAATACCCTTGATTTGCTTCAAACACTTTTGAAACACTTGAGCATTTTGAAAACTTTCTCTTTGAGATGCTGCACCTAAGCGATACGAATCAATCTGCTGACACAAATCTGCCATATTTGAGTTGGCTCTATTCATCTGTATCTGTGCCATCACTGCCTTCTAAGTCCTGATGGTTAATCATGTATCGTATCAATCTATAAACTTTACCATCATGCCTTCAGGATCTTGGGGGGAAATAGGCGTCTTTCCCCCATCACTGTTTTGCCCTGCTAATTCAATCAAGATTTCAGAAGTAGGAATGCCGAGCTCATGAAGCAAGATTTGTGCATCAGGCGAGAGTTTTTCTTTAGCATGGATTTCTGTCAAGAATCCCATGCTCATAAACACGTCCACGGCTGTCTTGCTGGATTCAGTCGAGAGCACTTCTCGGTAAATAGTACGGCGACCTGTGATTAAATGAGTAGCAATCCATTGTGTCAACATAGGCACAATGCAACGGGGCAACATAGGCACAGCTTCTAAAGCAGATAAAGAACACGATGCGATCCAATAAGCATCAATCGTAGGATATACAAGCGAAGCCAAAAAGATCAATTGTTCATAACGAACAGCATCGTTTTCCATATTGACCAAAAGGACCAATCGATTGTCTTGTAAACGCAGCATACGTTTCTTGATATAAGCTTCAATCATGGTATCCAATTTCTACGCAGACCAAAGTTAAGTCTGTGTCCTTTTTGATGTGTATAGCTTACCTCTTCTAAATCCCATGCGATAACAAATTCTTTTTCTAACAATTGAACCAAGAAACAGAAGCGATCCTTAAACTCGTCTTGCAAGACAGTTTCTTCAGAAAACGACAGATAAATAACAGCAAAAAAGGCATCTAACAAAAAGATATGGCTCATTTGATTGGCATAGTAAGACAAGGCCATGACATTGTCTGCATGATCATTGACACGAATATTAGTATCATCATTGATATCTCTACCATCAATAATCAAATTCTTGGGCTCGTCCAACAGTTTGAAAGCAGTTAGAATCAAGGTATCCACATCTTCACCCGCTAAAATAACAAAGAGATGAGTCTACAAAGCACTTGTTGGTTTGTCTTACCTTGCCAGTCTACAGCAAATTGATGCTGAATTATCTCATGTCGTAACCATTCCAGTAAATCCTTGATTTTGCCAATACAGACACCATGTGTAGCTCGTCCATAAAGAACAATGCCGGCTACCATCGAGACAGGAGACACCACTGTACCTTTACATTGAGCATCATGCACACGCTTCGTGATCTCGGCCACTAGCTCCGTTTCATAGGACTCCAGTCGATCCGACTTGCGACTGAACTCTTCTGCTACTTCTTGCACACTTACTAAAGGACCCACGCCTAATGTGATACGACCGTATTTCTTGGGCAGTTCCAGTCCTTCCAGAAGCGTCTTGCGACGATCTTTGGCTTCACTCGGTCGAGTCAAACCATTGGATCGAATAGGAGGCGACATCATGGAAGGAGGTAAAGCAGTAGGAGGTCCTGACTGAGAAGCAGAGCGTGTTCTTCCTTTACTATCTGCTGTTGTTGGCTGTTGGTCCAAGACTTCGTCAATCAAATGAGGTAATTCAGGTACGTTTTCATAGGTGATATTAATTGGAATAAACACGACATCTTTATGGATTTTTTTTTGGCCAGGCGAAGGGGTCATATTGCTGTCCATGCTTGTGGTTGTCGAGGTCGTTGAATCAGGTGAGTCGGGTGGTGTTTGTATTTCAGCAGACACGATACGAGAGACCATACTGGTACTTGAGCGACCTGTCTGATTACTATGAAGAGTGGCTTCGATCACCATATCCACAAATCCGTCTGCATAGGCTTCTTGAAACTTGCCTGTTCTAGATCGATACCGTTCAAGACAGAAGGATAAGGCACCGTGTTCGCGTAGCAAGACTTGTGTATAAGCAGCTGTGACAGCCGAATTCAGAGGCGATCGCTTACTTTTATCACGCTTTACATAATAAGCACCAGCAAGACGATAGACATCGGACATGGGACCCATTTGTGACATGGCTTCATCACAAGCCAATGCAGGCACAGGTAGATGGTACCGAATCGCCATATACCAGATCACCAAAGGATCCATCAGACTTTTAGAGACGGGTACATAGACCACACGTTTACCCATAGTGGCCTGACGCATCAAACGCAAACTCTCATCAGCTATACGAACATGATCAAACATGTCATCCAACAAGGACTTGAGGAACGAGCCCGCAAACCAGACAAAGGCCAGCTGAGTACGTTCACTCATGCGCAACAGGATCTTCAAGGCTTCATTCACAGCTGTCTGTTTAGGCACGCCTGCTTTCTGTGTAATCTGCGTCACGGCTTGATTGACACGTTTATCATTCAGGACGATGATCTTGACCGATTCATCGGAACTACCGACTTTACGACGCCATTTACCCAGTGAGATACGACGATCTTTTTCTGGATTCATCACATCTTCATCTTGGCACCAATCATCCAATGCGTCATCAAGGTCAGTCAACCAAGCATCATCTGTTTCTTTAGGATTCCATGTATTGTTCACCAAGAGCGTCTTGATATGAGAGACCATACGTGCTGTGCGTTGTTCAATCTGGTCTTGAGAGAAGACGACACTATTGACTTGTCTGGCAATGACAAGTTGATAGTACCCATTGTCTTCATCATCTACATCGGCATTGGGTGCCTGAATGGCACAGTGCCATCCATCCACAGGTGTAGGCACACGCAAATTAGTTTCTTGACAGACAAAGTAATGAATACCATAACATGCATTGGTCAAATAATGAGACCAAAACAGACTATCGGCATCTTCAGGCACGATCGCATGCGGATCAAATGTCAAGCTTGCATCCATGGTCTTGAGTGCATAACTCAAATGAGTCGTATGTTCATTTAACTGAGACACTGTGTTGGTATAGATACTGTCACGCATGGTTGTGGCTAGTTTTGCTGCCTTGTCGACGGTGCGACTCAGACGATGCGAGTTACGCTTATGCGCCATGGCAGAAGGAGGTCCACTCTTGATTCGCTCAGAAGATTGAGAAGCGATCGGTGTCACTGTCGGTGGATGACTGGTGGCCTCTTGGCTCGAGGTATTCATATACCCCCGCAAGGAATTCATGACAGTACGTGCTCGAGAAAGTCTTGTAGGTGTACTTGTGGATCCTTGAATGGACTGTCGCTGAGGTGGATTGAAATACGTTTTGGCTGGAGGTAGGTTGACATGCGTTGCTTTTGTCCAGTAGTCTCGCATGATGTCATACCCAACACGCCATGTTAAGGGTCGCATGGAAGCCATCGATACTTGATAAATCATGGGCAACATGGGTGTTTCATGAATACCAGGTAAGTAAATCTTGGGCAAACCATATATGGACCCTCGCATCGACATACGACTGGTGGAGCTGGGTGTGCGTCGATGATGATGATGTGTATTCTCTAAACTAGCTACCTTGGGCATTTCGAACTTGTCAGCAACTGAAAGTGTAGCAGCGCAGCCAATCATGAGACGAACAACATAATCCACAGGCACAACATCAGCCACACTATCACCTACATGAGGCTGAATCACTCTAGATCCTCTTCCTGTAAGTAATAAAGTACCATTGACACCATTCACCCCATCTGCCTATAAGATATAATGATCAATCTATCTATCCCCTCCTTATTGTTGATCCTATATTTACCCAGCCCATCAAAGGTTCCTGAATACTTGGACCTACAGGACCAAGACGCATCATAGCTATTGGAAAAGGAGGTTGTGTCTCTTGTTGTCTATGCTTCTGAATCTCTTCAAGCAAGACATGCTCAGCTAATGATTTTGAATAGAGATAGGCATTACTATAAAACGAACGAAAATGCTGATGATCGACAGGTGATCCATCCACAATTTGTTGTACTATTTTTGTTGCTGATAACTGAGGCTCAGTGGGTGTCTTGGGTAATGGATAAAGTGTCTTTTCTTCAGGTGATTTATTGTTGACTGACTGAAGATTGGATAGATGAACAAAGGCAGCCATAGAATGACATTGATTGGCTAATTCAAGTAAGTGCATAGTACCCAATGCATTGACCTAATAGACTATGAGTACGCATATATATATATATATATATATATATATATGACATTTTTACCTTGACAGCATCTTCAAGTCGTTCATTACCATCTACATTGCCTGCACAATGAAAGATAATGTTGACTTGTTGGTGTATAATATCCAAATCAAGATCAGACAAGCCGAGGTTTGGTTTTGTGATATCACCAAAAATAGGATATACTTTTTCTTCAATAAATTCATCAAATACGTGTGTACCCATTGATCTACGCAAACTCACAAAGGCCTAATAGATAACAACAACAACAACAATAACAGTAATGAGTCAGATATCGAGAATAAACAGTCTACCTTATTCAACAGAATATCATCTTGTAATCTTCCACTAGCAGATCGCTGATGTTGTCGACTACTTGGTCTAAGCAACAAAAAGATTTTATCGACAGAATCATGGAGTGAATGAATGATTTTCCACAACGCAGCTTTACCGATAAATCCAGTAGCACCTGTAATCAAAATGGATTTCTGGTGATAAAATGATTGGATTGTCTTTTGCTTTGGGTCTTGTTCGTCAATAACAAAGTCATTCGTAAGTGTTATGGCTTCATCTTCGGGAAAGGGATCGCTGTTTTCGATTTCTTTAACCACATCAAACACAGTAGGTGAGTCGGGTGTTGTTGGCGTCACTGTGCCACTTGCCATATAGTCTTTACTTTCCAAGTCTGGATTCGTGATGGAAATAGTTGGAACAGACATATTAAGAAAGGAAAAAAAAAAAGAAAGGAAAAAAAATAATAATATAATTTGTCTCAGCCTTATTGAGTAACCATAAACAAAAAAAAAAACAGAAAGAAAGGGGGGTGCTTTCAGGAACACAAATGGACGATCCAATTGAAATTTAAAGGAGTCTTAAAATCATTTTTTTATGCAAAAAAAAAATAAATAAATAAACTATGGATATGTCTTGTATTCATTGACAACAAAGATCATCATCACTGTTGTCATGACTACATAAAATACATCAGCCCATGCGTATTGTGTGGATTACTTACTAAGCCACAAATCCCATTTCTCTTTAAAAAGTGTTTGGAAACTGACTGCTTTTTGTTCTTGCATTTCATCAATCGAATAGGTATTGACTATACTGTTCCTCATGCCCACAGCTAACTCCTGTCTTTTAGAATGTCTATCTCTACAAGATGAACTTACATAGGTAATAAGATCCTTCCTTCTGCCAAAACATAGCTGCACCTATAGGCTAATGTACTATATTAGATGTCATGGATAGTTGCAACTTACAGTGGTAGATCCAAGATGTCCTTCTTTAGGTGAAATGACCATCCTCAATATCCATGCTAAGGGTTTCTCTAAATGATGAGGGCTTTCAGAGAAAGATGGTTTTTTTTTATAGGCTAATTTATCCCCTGATCCTCGTTTATAGATATAGACAGCATTCGATTCAGTCCAGACTGCTAATAAGGTTCCCTCTGCATTTAACTGAACTCCTCGAATGTCAGTTGCATCATAGCCTGTATCACTGCTATAAGGCTCGATGGAGTCTGGTACTTGCATTGTATGATAGAATTCATGCATAATTTGACCTTGTTCATCTCGATATAGATGAACATACATACTATCATACAAGGCTTGAATATTGTCTGTAAAATCAAGTGTTTGGAAATCATTTCGAATCAGAGAGACAACCATGGTTTTAGCATCTTTGGATCGAGAGACAGAAGGAATAGGCATATTAATGACTGTTCTTTCATGGTGAAAATGAGCTCCATCTACAAATGCCATGTATTCTAGATTATCGTCCATAATGGTACTGTCATTGGAGTACAGATGGTCTCTGCGTATCCAATGAGTGTCGGTTTGAAACTTATCTGTAATGGCTATACCATCTGATATAGACACATTCGTATGGAAATAGAGACTTGTCTTGTGAATATCCAACGTAAATACTCGGTATGTATTCTCACTATCCATATAAATACACAAGACACAGGCTATATACTTACTTGACTGAATAAAGTCTGCTTAACAGATGAGCATAAGCATTGGTTCCCTTGGGTTGATGATACGCTAGAAACAAGGTGAATAAGGCCAACAATCACATGGTGTTTATTACCTCGAATAGGTTCGCCTGTTTGTCCATGGCTCAACAGAATAGGTTGTGATTGCTCTGAATGAGGTGGTAATGTGAGATGGGTAGGTAATGCCATAATACGGAATCGATAGAGATCTGGATTCCTAAGTTGATGATCAGTATTAGCTTCACAAGAAAGACAACTGAACATACCGAGAAAACAGGATAGAATCCTTTTCAAGCGAGATAGCATCAATCATGGTATTACCAGGTAAAATCAAGTCTTTGTAATGATATTGGTCATCAACAAGATAATATACTCTGACAATATGTTGAATATGATCATCTTGTACGATATGGTATAATACGGCGAATTGCACAGTCTCTGTATCTTCTGGACTAGAGGATACTTGTGTGATTGGACCAGGCAATAAGTGTCTAAAGCAAACCTCCCATTCTATTGGCTTATGAATAACAATAGCCTATCCATGGCACTCACCTTCTTCTGGTACGGGTCTGAGTAAATCCTGCTTTGGTTTTCTTGCTTGTATAACAAGACCTTTTAAGAAATGAATAAGCATACACATACTCTTTTTTAGGTTACCATTGACGCCAAGTTTAATAGAGTCTACACCACGTACAAAGCCTTTATTGGCTTCCAACACAGCTTCGTCATGGACATGAGTTCGGTAGACATAGTCTCCAGTTTGTCGTAATATGACTCGACTTGGCTCATTTGTTCTGGTCTTTTTCGGTAAGAATGTCTGTACAAGCACTGGATGAGGGTAAGGTGTATCTTGTAGTAAGCTCACAAAATATATCATGGCAAAGCCTGATACCAACAGTACCAGAACACGCCATTTCATTTTTATATGTATATATAAGAAAAAAAATAAAGAAGAGGGAATTTATTTTTTTCCCTTTTTCTTTCTTTAATCATGACTTTTATGACACAGGAACTTGAACCATGTCTAGCTAGACTAGGTACTACACCTGAAGGTATATCATTAAAAAAAAAGTCAAAGATATAGCTTGGCTCATCAAGAGTAGATAAACCTTCATTTGTCAAAGAAGTCTATGCCATCCAGGATATGGACACATTACGCCAGCTTGTAGTACGAAAAGAGAGAGAAAGACAAACCATCGCTAACGACCTTGAAGTAGCTGCTCGTATTGGCTTGGTCATCTCAGAAACCAATGAAGCCATACAGATCAAGCTCGAGCAACTCGAACGAGAAAACAAACTCTATCAAGATGAACTCGCTAGACCTGATGATATTGAAGATGACCGTATTTACCTTGCACAAGAACTCGATCAAGCCCGTAGAGAACTCAACAAGTTTCGAAAAGAAATGGATGGTCTGTCTGCTCAATTGAACGATATGGCGTCTGAAATGGTCGATTCGCGTCAAAAAGTAAGCATTTATGCAAAACGTCTGGCAGAAGTCGAACAGAAACTGGCATCCACTCGCGAAGTCAATACGAATCTCCAGTGCTTGCTTGATAAAGCATTGACGTCTCAAAAACAATCAAGCTCAAATACAACCCACCTTGTTAAGAATATCCAAATGGATCTAGCTCGTGTTATGGCTGAAAATGAACAATTAAGGGCACGCATTGCTGAATTGGAACACCAACAGGTTGAATGTGAAGAAAAGCTAGCTGCCATGGTCATTCAGGCTCAAGAATATGCCACTCGATTAGAGCAAGCACAAGATACCATTCATAGTCTAAGTGAACCTAAATTACAAGAAGAAGAGGACTTGATTAGTATGCATCATAACGGGTCTACTTATTCTGTCTCTTCTCATGAGGGTAGCAAAGAGACTGAAATTACCAAGGTAAAGTGTTGCTTTCTTGGTCTTTGTGTTTAATCTTTTGTTTAGGGTCCTGTATTTTCAGCAGAATTCAGACAAGAAATGCAAAAAGAAATTGAACGCAATCTCAACTTGCGAAATGAAATCCGTCATCGTATCATTACAGCAGATACAGCTTATACAGACAAGAAGAAATCACAAGAAGGCCTTAAATACCTAGTTTCTTCAGAAAAAGAAAGTGGTGGTCTTGCCAGTCTATCCACAAGCACTAGCACATCCACAACATCTTCTGTCTTATCAACAGTCAAAAAAGAACCTACGCCTATCCAAACAGAAGAAGAGCCAGGCAGAGGTCCTGTCCTTAGACCTGCTAGTTTTCTGACTGGTTTTGGTGGATTCAATGACCCTGGATTGGGTATTGCAGGTGGTATGGCTAGCAGTAATTTCATTACCCGAGGCATTCCCCCACGTACATTTACTTCACGCAACAATGAGCCTAGTATATCTACACGATTCTTCCAACGATTGGCTTCCAGACTGGACGAATATGATAAAAAGATGTCGTCCTCTTCATCTTCTTCTTCTTAGATATGTGTAACCACATGTCAGTAGAATAAAAAGTCCTTTATCATTCAAGTTGTATGCTGTGTGACACAACTGTTGGAATGACTGTCATTTTTTATTTTATTTTTTTTATTTTCTTTAGGGGGTTGAAAATCCTTCTCTTTTTTTGGTTATATAATGTCAAAGAGTATTAAAGCACTTGGCTTGAAGGGTAAACAAGACTGGAATACTTCCATTTATTGCTTTTCTCGTAATGCTCGTAACAACATGCTCTGGGAAAAAGATGGCGCTTCCAAAGCTGCCTTGAAGCACTTTTTCCAGTCTCATTTGACATCCACCCCTGCCTTTCGCCATTCACCTTCCAAAGTCACTATTCAACTCTACTACTATGCCGATCCTGCTTTCACCAACCTTGCTGATTTCAAGATGGAACCTTTAGAAAAACTCATCAGCTCACTTTATCCCGGCAAATACGTTGATTTGCGCTTGATTCGAGTTCATTACCCATACATGAATGCTGAAATCTTGGCTCAATACTTGACTATCAACTCAGAACGTATTGGCTGGTCTCAACTCACACGTAGATTCATGAAGGGCGTTCCTTTGGTAAAGCCCCCACTTCCTCATAACATGCCTTTTGGTGTTCAATGGAACAGTTTATTGCCTCAGACAGCTAATGGTCAATTGACATCGGCCATTCAAGGTATTAAATATCAAGTGTCAGGTCGTTTGGGTCGTAGAAAGGGTGCTTCAAGAACACAAGTGATGCGCAAATCACTCGGTACTTTCCAATTCACAAGTCATAAGTCCCTAGTGGATGTAGGTCGCCATACATTTGCAAACAAGAATGGTAGTATCACTGTTAAGGTTTGGATTGCTTCTGCTTTATTTGGTGTCAATGCTTTAGGAAACAAGCTTGGTAAGAAGGCTATTGAATCTGCTGCTAAACTTTAAGGGATAAACATAATATGATTAAAGAGAACAAAAGTATGTATTTAACCAGTCTAGCTGTTGTACTAGTGTTTTATGTCTCATTTGATGCCACTCATGATCTTCAAAAGCTGCTTGAATATCACTGTAATCACCATTGTCAATTCATGTTATATTGCTTTCTCTTACCTCTTCATTTGTGGTGTTAAGTCTTTGTTTTGTATTTGAAGTGTACATTGAATATCAGGATAACTATAAGGAATGACAAGTTGGACGTGTAGATCTCTTTCTTGTTCAATTGGTAAAACAAGATCGATCAGTGTATGCAGATCTTTCTGTCTAAGTAACAATGTTATGCAATGAAAGCAAGTTGAAGTTGCTTACGATGTCCTTTGAAAAAAACTAGAGTATTTCTTTTCCAACTGATCGAGTTCTAAGTTTCGAATAGCTTTCTGTATTGAATTCGAGTCATGAATAGCATGATCTTTATGGTTTTGTTCGCCAAGTTTTACTTTTGAAGTATGAAAAGGCAAAATATGTGCAAACTGACAGTCTTGTCCTGCTCTACAGTTTCCTTGCGAATAAAACCGACAAGGAGCGGGGAAACGTTTTGGTGTAGTGTACATGGTTGACTGTAGAAAAAAAAATGGAAAGAAAGATTTTTTGTATCACAGTCTTTTAAATTGTTTGTGCTCTTTCTTTACAAATAAATAACTTGTCTATCTTGTTTCCTTTTTCCTTTTTCTTTTCTCTTTCTGTCTCTCCTTCTCTCTTTTTTTTCGTCCTGAAAAGACATTCTTTCTCTATTCATACTTGCTTGTCAACTTTTTTTTCTTTTAACAAGGACGTGCGTAACTGTCTTTTAAAAAAATCGTTGTCTATCCCTCCCTGCCCTTTTTTTACATTAAAATGGAAAGTAATTCATTTGAAGCTCTAGAGCACCAAACTGCACCAGAAAGTACTCGAGGACTTTTTGATTCATTTATCTCTGATAATAAGGTAATTCATAAAAGCAGCAAGCTCCCCCCCCCCTCCCTCTTCCCCTTATCTATATATATATATATAAAAGAACCCTAAATTTTAGGTAAAAAAAAAAAAGCATGTAAATTAATTTGATTGATCCTAGTTTCCAAGAGACGCTACTCCTTTACTTGACAAACGACGTGCTTCTGTAGACCCTCAATCTACAAGATCAAGACCACTTTCGTATCAACCACAACAAGGTCGTGGCCATCAACGTTCTCGGTCAGCAAGTGCTTCCGATTTGGCTTTAAATACCAACGGACGTCGAAACAATTCTGCGTTACAAACCTTAATTGAAGAAGAAGATGCCCAAAGGAGAAAAAAGGATGTGGATCTCGACTCAATACAAGACATGATCAACACACTCAAGAACCTACCACCCATCATTTCAAATCCAAACCATCGTAAACAACAAAGCATGTCTGCTACTTTAGCACTTCACTCAAGCGGAGGTCATTATGCTCAGGTTACGAATAATAAACGAGTGTCGCACAGCAGTAGTAAAATGAGTTCGAATCCCTCATTTGAAAACCAAAATATGGCATCGGACCCACTGTTTGAAAACAGCTTATTGAACTCACTTTCGCGTGATGAAGCATTGGCAGAGGCAGAAGCCAAGTTGATGGGTACATTTGGACAAAAGAAGAAAGAAGGAAGTCGTAGTCGAAGAAATTCTGCCCAAGGTCCTCCTCCTGTGTTGACGTCTCGTCGGTACTCTGAGTCGCAATCCTTTGATCCTGTGGGTATCAATACCTCTTCTTCTTCTTCTTCGGGGCTTATGAGCAGACGTACTTCTTTGCATACACTTAGTGAACATGAAGCCACCGAAAACAGCCTTGCTTCTGGTCGACGTATCGTATTCAACAAGCCATTGAACCTTGCATCCAGCAACAAAGCCGAGACCAATGATTTCATGGAAAACAAGCGATTATCAGGCGGTAGTCATCAACGTCGTTCATCTCGCAACCTGGACTTTGACTGGCGAAACACCAATAGCAATGTATCGAGTCCCACCCAGAATTCCTTCCAGTTGGTACCTTTCACACCCACCCGTGTTAATTTCACTCGAGATGATGCTAACCCTCATCAACGTCGTCCCTTGTTTATTGCTCATTTGCCATTTTCTGCTTTGCCTTCATTGTTCCGTGCACGTCAATTGAGCCGTGGTTTATTACGTGTCAATAAGCGTAACCGAAGTGACGCTTATGTCTATTGTGAAGATTTGGATGATGATATTTATATTTGTGGCTCTCGTGACAGAAACAGAGCTTTGGAAGGTGATGTTGTTGCTGTTCGATTGGTCGATGTAGACAAGGTATTGCGTGAAAAGAAGGAAAAGGAAGAAGCCAAACTGGCTCGTAACGGGGGACAGGCTAGAGTAAGATTACCTGATGAAGAGGACGAAAATGAAATTATTTTCGGTGGTGATGATGATGTGAATCTAGTGAAGCCCAAGTATTGTGGCGTAGTGGTTGCTATTCTTGAAAGAGCCCAAAATCAAGTCTTTTCTGGGTAAGTTAAGATGTATTTAGTGTTAAGCTTACCTTTTTCTTAGTACTTTAACTTTGATGCGTCCCAATAACAAGCGTGCACAAGAAGAAAAGGCTGCTGAAGAAGCAAGAAAATCAATTCAAGGAAAAGATGCTGTCATTCAAAAAGAAGCACCAAGAATCGTCTGGTTCAAGTCTACCGATAAGCGTGTTCCTCTTATTGCCATTCCTATTGAACAAGCACCTAACGATTTTGTTGAGCATTGCGAAACATACGCTACTCGTCTTTTTGTGGTAAGAGCAAACAATGGAATTTTTTTGGAGGAAACAGAGTGAATAATAAGCGATCATTTTCTAGGGATCAATGAAGAGATGGCCTATTACTTCCCTTCATCCTTTTGGTACTTTGGAACGCGAACTTGGTTCTGCTAATGAGCTCTCTACTCAAACCAAGGCTATTTTTGCTGACAACAATGTGACTGACAGTGATTTCTCAGAAGCTGTTCAAAGTTGTTTGCCTACTTTACCTTTTAGATTAGAAGCGGATGCCTCTCGCCGTGATGTAAGACAAGATGCAATCACTTTTACGATTGATCCTAAAGGTTCTAATGGTATGTTTTCCTTTTTTTTTTTCTCTTTTATCTTATCCTTTCTGTAGTATTGGATGATGCACTGTCTATTAAGAAAGTGGACGATAATGTATGGGAAGTGGGCGTTCATGTTTGTGATATTGGCTATTTTATCAAATCACATTCACCACTTGATAAAGAAGCCCGTGCTCGAGCTGTTCGTGTGGACCTTGTTCATACACATGTGCCTATGGTTCCTGAAGTTTTGACAGAACAAGTTACCAACTTGGTACCTAATGAATCCAGGTAATGGATTGTATGTAAACTTGTAGATGCTAATGGTTTTGACTAGATATACTTTTTCTGTTATCTGGAAACTAGATAGTAAGGGTCGCATTCTAGATACATGGTTTGGAAAGACGATTATCAAGTGAGTAGCGATGGATGGATTAAGAGAAAATTTACAGTTTGTTATGTATAGATCGTCTGCACAACTGACATATGACGATGCACAAAAGTTATTAGACAACACCTCAGAAGATACCAGCCCTATTTCAAGCAGTATTGCATCGCTCTATGAATTATCTAAAATGTTGCACGAGCAGCGTAAATCAAATGGCTTGTTTACTCAAATGCGCGATCGTCTTGAATACGAGTTTGAAGAAGAAGGAAAACCTGTTACGGTCTCGATTGCTCACAAGAGGCCTGTTGAAATGATGGTCAAGGAATTTTTATTTTTGGCTAACAAGTGTGTAGCTCAAAAGATCTCGAGCGAGTTTCCAGAGCAAGCTTTGTTACGTCGCCATGCACCTCCTTCAGAACGTAAAATTGTAAGTAACAATGTACGTATGAGGGAAAACTTATTTTTTTTTTTTTTGTGCAGAATGAGTTAGTTATGTATGCTGCTCGTCATTTAGGCGTCAAATTGGACAATACAAGTGCCGGTTCTCTCGAGGCTTCTATTGAAGCTATTCAAGACCCCAAACTTCGTAGAGTTGTCTCCATGATTGTTCTAAAGACATTCCAGCCTCCTAAATACTTTTGCACTGGAAGTGTTGATATCTCTAAATACGCCCATTATTCTCTTCATGTTCCTCTTTTTACACACTTCACTGCTCCTAGTAGAAGATTTGCTGATATTATTGTTCATCGTCAATTGGAAGCTGCTATTGCTCCTGGAGGTAAGAAAGCCAATACAGAGAGAGATAAAAGAGAAAGCTTACCCCTGATAGAAAAACGATTCCTTCTTGAAAGAGAAACAGTACATAAACTTGCACAACATTGCAATATCAAAAAAGATGCTGCCATCTATGCTCGTGAACAAAGCAGTACTTTATTCTTGTCGATTCACATGAATGAATTAGCGCAACAACAGCAACAACATGCAACAGAAGTCGATACGCCTATGAATCCTCATAGTCCTTCTATTGTTTTCCGTGAAGCCATTGTTGTTGCTGTGTTTGATCAATATTTTGATGTTATTATCCCAGAACTCAATCTCGAGAAGCGTGTTCATCTTGCTTGTTTGCCAGTCTGGAGATCAGATTACAATCGATACGATCAATCCTTGACCATGTTCTGGAGAAAAGGCGTGGATACTTCTTCTGGTAAGAAAAGCGAATGGACTTTATCCGATGAAGAAGACGACGAGGAAGATATTGATGAAGAAGGTTTATGGGAAGAAATGAACCATACTGGTTCACCAGACAAAACTACCTACGAACACAATACTGAAGAAACTATCGTTAGTCAATTAGCCATTCGTGGACAAGAAGCCGTTAACATCCACAACAATAGTAAGGTATTTCCTAACAAATCTGTTTCTACTCCTGTTGTTATGGATCGCCGTCCCGATACAACACGTTCTTCAAGTCGTCGTGCTTCAATTGTGCGTGCAAGGCTTTCAGATAGTACTGCCTATAGCACTGAACAGGGCTTCCAAACCATCAAGGCTTTAGACAAGATTCGTGTTGTTCTTATTGTCGAGATAGGTAGAACCCCACCTCTCATTCGTGTTTTGGCAGCCAATCCTTTCTCTTAATGGATTCCTTTCTTTTCTACGCATGTGTTTCTATATACCAACGACATTTGAATGTCTCAAATATCCTACCTTTTTGTTGTATACACCTCTTTTTAACTATCTGTCCTTGTTTCTCATTAAAATTATAAAAATTAGTTTTGTAATGCTACATGTCTACTGAATGAAGAAAAGAGAGCGTAGTTGAAATTGAGCAACAGTTACATTAGATGAAACTTCGGTGGAAGATGGGTTGGCTCCCTGTTCGTCCTGTGCCTTGTCGTTGTGGTCATCCACACGCCTCGCGTAACCACTTGCTCTCTTGCCTCTCTGTTGCCTCTCGTCTTGGTGTTGCTGTGGATGTTCAGCCTAATCCTCTGAATTTTGTGCTGAATCAGCTACCTCGGCTCGCCTCTCTGCCATCTCCAAATGACCAACATCATTCTATCTCTCTCTTGCGTTGGTCCTCCTGGTGGCCAACTCTCTGCGAGATCATGTTGGAAATGGACATGATCTGTCTGCCGGATGCTGAGTTCAGTCCCTGCTCTTAAGTCATTGACGGTCTTACCCTTCTGGAATGGTTGCTCCTCCTGTTGCCTCCTCTCTCTACGCCTATCTGGGTGTAGTTTGATTCACTTTTATATTTTTTTCTTTCCCTTATTTTATATTTCTTCCCATTGGAGTTCCTATTCCTTTTTTTCTATCTTTATGATTGTTTTTTATATTCTTTGTACTAGTGTTAGTTTTCCTTACTCTCACTGCTCTTATGACTAGACATTTGCCCCATAGGGATCAGTATTACAAGTCATTTAATAAAAATAAAAGCTTTTGCCTACATTAGATGAAAGAACCAGGAGCATGTCGTAATGTGCATGATCAAAATATCAAAAATATTAAAAAGAATTTTCCCCAACGGGGAATTGAACCCCGGCCGCGTCGGTGAGAGCGACGAATCCTAGCCACTAGACCATTGAGGACTGTTTTTTATGTCAAGTTAATATTTCTTTAAGGTTTGTATCCAAAAATACAGGTCAGGTGACGATAGAATATTTTCTAGCCAATGGTATTACTGGGAAAATATTCTAGAAGGCAGTGACGTCTGTGTTTTGATATTATAAGTCTTTGATAAGTAACTTATAATCATCAACAACACGGTATTTATATTTTTCTATTCTATACTAAAATATCTATTCTATCACTAATAAAGCAGGAAGTAATTATATCCTTCAACTTGATTGATTACTTCTTTTTCGACGAATGCCACGCGAGCTTGGCGTCTCCTAAAGGCAACTTCCTTAAGCGTAATAGATTCAGTCTAACCTTCTTTCTTTTCTTGTTTGATATTTGAGGTTTAAACCTTTTTTTGTTTGATCTATACATATAGGGAAGGTTATATTCAACCTCGATTGGCTGTTGGCGGTCGGAAGTACTAATATCTGCGACATTTATATTAATTTTTAATTTTTTTTCATGTTTATATTTATTAGAAATCACGTGATCGAAAAATATTACCATAGGCTTGTTCTTTAAGTCTTGATTTTAAAGAAGTACACCAAAAATGAAAATTATTTAAACTAAGTAGTTTTTATCAATAATCAAAAATGAATGCTCTTTATTCTTTAGATTATGTGGGCTATTTATATGTTTTCTAGTTATTTGTACCAGTACGTGATTAGTAATTGAAGACATGAAATATAAAATAATATACTAAATATAATTGCTAATAATTGACTAATATCAATGTTTTGCTAAGTATCCTTTTTGGTTCTTTTTCTTCGTTCTTTGCTTCATTTTATGTTAGGTGAGAACCTTCTTTTCTTTGCGTTTGCTTCTTTTCGGAATTTCATTTCTAGTTCTAGCATGAGTTGTGCATTACTTGCAATGTGCCTCGTAACCAATTTCGGCTCGACATTTACATAAAATGCAAAATAAAATATATTAGCTGTTTAACTATATATCAGCCAATTAAATCGCTTTCACGTGGACAAATCTCTGCTCTGTTTGAATGTTGATTTATGCACCGTTTTAAGGTATTGTATTTACTGAATCTTATTCAACACATGGTTCATTGTTTGAACAGATATATTCTTACAATAGGTTTTCCAAAGTTTTTTGCTTTCTAGAACTTGTTTATTAAGAGCGTCTGCAAACTTCAAATAGGTGTCAATCGATAGATCACTTAAACCATAAGACTCTTTGTATCGTATTTCAATTCATAATTCAATTGAGGCTTGGGATTCTTATAACTATCTTCCTTATTTTATCTGCAAATATTAGCCACATAATGAGCATAACCAAGCAAAGTGCCATATTCACGCTTTGCTTCAGAAGCATTAAGGATTCGTATTGATAGATTCTGACAGTTGTCATGTATACTGGAAAGATAGAAGGCGCAACATGAACCACCACAACAGGTTCATAATCAAACAATGGTTGATTGATCATGGGTACTTGATGTGAACCCGGGTTATGTCAATCAGGATGCTTGAGTTCAAACTCATCTATTTCATCATATATATTCTTGAGCCATTCAACGTATTCTTTTACATTTCGTTGAATTGAGACTTGATCATTATCTGGTTTAGAGTCTTCTGAAAAAGGTATCTCAATATAGTTGTCTATTTCTACATCCTCTGTTAATGAATGTAGTTCTAGTTCACGCTGTTGTGAGATGAAGAGAGAATAGATATAAAATAAGAGAAAAGGTGAGAACACAGAGAAAGTCCGTTAGAACTTGTATAGGCTTTTATTTCCCCAAAAGAAATCTTATCTTTTTCAATTGCTATAAAATGTCGAGGTATTTATACTTTTTCTTCTCGGTCAAAATATTGTTTTGGGTTAGCTTCTTGACTACGGATTAATTTGTTAGATCAGGAGCAATTAAGAGAAATGTCTTAGAAGGTTGTCAGCTCAGCCAATAGTACATGATCTGGCCCGAACTTGAATAAACTATTACATATTTGTCAAATGCCAATGCCAATGTATTTGTCAGCTCTAACTGTCACTTTATGAGGGCCATTAATAATAACAAAGTCACTAGGTTCATAATCTCTGACTATGAAGACGATGTAGTACTTCTAGTAGAATGAGTGAATGTCAGTGACTATAGATCCATTGCAATTGTCATAGATGTGATCTATGCATATGAATTCATATATGTTCATACATCAAAAAATAATCCATATTGAGATAAGCATAAAAGTGGCCAAACACAATATCAGAGTAGATAGATGTAATACCGACATAATCCTTTAAACATCTCTTGAAAAAGTCTCTTGGAGATGGAGGAACGTGACCAATGACATAGATTTTGACACCTTCAAAACGAGATTTTTCTAGTTGCTGTTGATACCATTCCAAATGAGTAGAGCCTGAAGAACCTTGTTTTTGGCAGGCTTTAGCGAGTGGGTTTTTCTTCGAGAAAAACATGGTGTTCATTGACAAGACCCGTAGACCAGGAGCAACATCAGCAGCAAAATACTCACCTTTCAAAAAATCTTTGCGTTGATGCTTAGGAATCCAATGATCCCAAAGCTGTTCAAAAAAAAAAAAGAATAACACATTGTCGTTCAACTCGATATAGTTGTGAGGCTGTAAATCATTATTACCAATAACAGGAATAACAGGAATAGCATGAGGGTTTTCAGGGCTGGCAGAGAAGACGTCGTTTATCAACTTGGTCACTTGTCTATTAAGCTCTAACACTTTGGATTCTTTTCGAGGTGGGAGCGATCCCAGTCATGCCTTGAGTTGTTACCAGTCTAAATAACAAAGTCAAGTTTATCTCTCCATTCACGATGAATCTAGTCCATTGTGTGTTGGATAAGAAGTTCAGGTGCATCCATTCTCATACTAGGAACGTCCATTGGAGGACAAAGTTGGTGATGCTTTGAATGTTTATGTTTTTTAGGTTGTACATGACAGCCAGATTTGATTGTGGCGCCTTCAGTGTAATGATCATCCAACTATATTTGTTAGACAACACATAGTATAACAGTCAAATTTACATGTGTATCTGTGATTTGAAGAAAGTAACCAAATTTTTTTATCGTGATTTATCTTGACTTGCCTCTCGTTTCTCCAACTTATTCAGGGTATGAGCCGCAATGACTTGTATAAAAGTAAACATTTGCCATAGCGCTAAAAACGCCAACAAAAGCACAGCGACAAAGCTAAATGCTTTTATTCTTGGACGGAAAAGAAAATGATCGAGATCAATTCATTTAATATGCTAGAGTTCAGATTACAGATCATTTTTGCAGCTGTCAAAGACTGAAAACAAAAGAGTCACAAAAGCCACTGAAAAAAATTCATATGTAGGATCCATAGCAATATTTTTTTAGCTCCTTCTCTTTATTTTATTTTATAAAATGGCTCCCGTCAAGGCTAACACTGCTGCTGTCAAGAAGTCCAAGTTCATCATTGATTGCTCTGGTCCTGCCAACGACAAGATCTTTGATGCTGCTGCTTTCGAAAAGTACCTTCACGACCGTATCAAGGTTGATGGTCGTACCAACAACCTCGGTGAAGCCGTTACCATCTCTCGCTCTGCTGACAACAAGATCACCGTTGTTGCCAACATTGCTTTCTCCAAGCGTTACCTCAAGTACTTGACCAAGAAGTTCTTGAAGAAGAACCAAATCCGTGACTGGCTCCGTGTTATTGCCACTGACAAGCAAACCTTCGAACTTCGTTACTTCAACATCGCTAACGATGAAGAAGCTGAAGACGAAGAATAAATTACTTATTCTCAATCCATGTATTTATTCTAGAATAATAAAAAACCTTTTTTTGTTGTAGAACTATATATTATTTAAAAGTGTAGTACAGTCATGTTTGTTTTTAATTGTATCACAATTTGTTCAGTTCGCTATATTTGTCCCACTTGCTGTTTCTACATTAAACATTTTGGGTTTTCAAGATCAAACTATTTGCTCAGGTAAAATTGGCTCTTAGAGTTGAAAGATTATTTCACTTCAAATTAGAAAATCACACTGATAACATGAAAGCAAGAAATATAAATTAATAAAACAGAAATTTCTTGCTTCTTTTGAACAAAAAAAAAAGATTCTCTAGAAAATAGAAAAACCAGTAAAAGGAGGAAATGACAAGAAGGAAAGAAGGCCGGATCAATATACAAAAGAGAAAGATCACAACCAATTACTCCACTACTTATAATCAGGTATGCTAAATAGATATATCAGTTGACTTCAAAAAGAAATAGATGGATTTAATTGGCCTAGAATAAATAGAATATTGTCTCAATCTCGAGTTGGAAGGTTAGCTCTCTTTTTGTAATTCAGCAAAAAAAAAAAAAAATTAAAAAAAGGGTGATGCACTTTTTTTATTCCTATTCTTTTTTTCTTTTCAATTCCATATTCTCTCACTAAACATGGCATTAAAAAATCGCAAAACTCTAATATTAATTGCTTTCTCCTGTTTATATATTTGCAATACGCACAGCGCCCCAACACCAATGACATCAAACGCAGTAATGGACTCATTCTCCCCGCCACCAACAGCTTTTTCCTTACCGCCACCACTACCACCATCACCATCCTTATCCGATAATTACAGAAATATGGTTACAGATTCAAAAGAAGACAGAAAAGCAGAAAAAAAACAAGAAGAAGAAGAGGAGAAAGAAAAACACAAGCAATATCAAAGCAACAAAAATATGAAATATGACGGCGATGATTCGAGAAATAGCCATACTTTCGGCCATACAGACAGTGCTGACGATAATAACTCATACAACCATGATCATAAAGATTCGAGTGCTACAAGTCCTACAGTAAATGAACCTAGCAATACTGTTGTAACAACAATTATTGTTGTGGCTACAGAGACACCAACCACAATTTATTCTGGAAGTACGTACAACCCAGCCAAACAACAGGGACAGTCTTCAGAAACCAGTCAAGGTGTAAATGATCCCAACTCTCCTGGAAACTCGAACACCATTGGATCCAACAATAATAAAAACGATCAAATTCTAAAAGACTTGTCTGCATACCACAAGCTAGTAACTGGATTATCTATTGTGGGTGGTATTGCAGGTATTGTTCTTGTTACTGCTGGTCTTATTTATGGACGCAAACAATACAGAAAGAGAAAGCAATTTGATGAAGAAAAGCAAGTACAACACGACGATCGTTTTATTCCTCCTCCATCCTCACCATCAGCACCGACATCTTTTAATCATCAGCCACTTACACCCCCAGCCATTGCTCGATTGTCTTCTATGTCTGATGACGGTGATATGACCGTCATTGACTTTAATCAAAACTCATTTGCAGATCCTATCATGCTTAAAAATCATCGCCAACCAAGCACATCAAACCTGTCTTTTGCACCGCCGCATTTACCAGCCCACCTTGCATCTCGATACAATACTTATCGACAGAACCAAACACTCTCCATGACTTCACAAACAATGCCTTCGGCTCCTAATGCAAAAGAATTAGACGGCCTAAGGTATAATGATCCTTTCCAAGATATGTATAGAGCCAACGATATAATGCAGCAAGACGATATACAACACTTAGGAGATCCTTCATCATCTTCATCGCCTTCTCATCATCATCATCTTCAGGCTACACAACATTATCATCATCATAAGTCAGAGTCCTTTTCTTTATCGACAGATTTACCGCCTCCACCAGCATATACACCTAGTGCATCACCTAGTGCGCCACCGTTATATGCGTTACCGCCAACAGAAGAGCAACATTATTCATCTCAAGGATTTGAAGATATGTCGTTAAGGCGACATTCTATAAGCAACTGTAGTATAACATCTAATAGACCCATTTCACTGAGGCGTGGGTCAGGCAGTTTAACACGAATAGCACCTTAAATCATACTTTCTGGAAAGTATACTTTGATACCTCTCTTTTTTTGTTTAAAGTTAATTAATAAAGCACACTTCTGATGTTATTAAACTGAAAATAGAAATTAAATATATTTACAATTCCAAAGCAAGTCTGGCCATTTCATAAACACCATGACGAGACTTATTGCCACCAATAAAACCACCAGCATGAACGAAAATACATCCTTCAACGCCAGAAATACGGCTCAATTCATCATCGCGGAAACCTCTCCATGCTTCAGGCAAACTCTTTCTATTTTCAAAACCTTCAGGGCGCAAAGGAACACATTGGATACGCCAGTTACCTTCAGTAGAAGATTCAGGATAAAGAACGTACAAAATAGACTTATCATCTACAAGACCGCGTTCCTTTTCAAGGTCAAGTAAGTGTTCCTTCCAGGGACAAGAACGTTCAAGAGCAATAACACGGCCAGAGGGGTTGACATCAGTAGCTTTGTCTAAGGCTTCAACAACGAGAGAACGAGCAGGTAACCAAGAATTTTGAAGACGCTTGACATAGTCTACAAGTTCAGAACCTGCCATTTCAGAAGCTTCGAGGAAACGAGCATCAATTTCAGCGTCAGTCAAAGGTTCGTTCCAGCTAGGGTTCTTGTGAGCAACACGGTTGTGAAGACTAGTAGGAGATTCTTTGAAAAGAGGATTGATGTTGTTGGGATAAGCACTGATACCATTGTCATTAGCATCCAAAGATTCAACAAAACCCTAAAAAAAAGCAGTCAAAAACAACAACAAAATATGGATGCTTACATCGTATGTCTTTTGATAAAGCATTTCAACATCATTATCAACTTCAGTTTTGCCAAGCACGTTCATGACAACTTCTTTACCGAAATGTTTATAAACTAAACCAGCAGAACTCAACTTGGTCTTGTGCTCAGCATCAAAAGTTTCAGTGAAACCACGCTATAGAACAAACATAAATATGACAAGTAGGCCTTACAACTATGAGCTTACTTGATGATGATCATATCTATGAGTAGCAGGATCATAGACACCTCCAACGTCAACAACGATGTCACATTCAGCCAATTTGGAAGCATCACGAGTACGGATTAAATTGGCGTTGCTGAATTCCTTGGTTCTCTTTAACAAAGAGACAGCCAAAGCTTCGTCACTATTCATAGTGTTATACTTTTGATTTATTTAGAATATGTCTATATTTACCAATGGAAATGACCGCTATGAGTACCAATAGTCTAATAAAAGCTTGGTTTAATAGGCCTCAAGGAGACATACATGTATATTTTATTACCTTAATCATTTTAAGCATTAATGTAAGAAATCGATGAAGTGTATTTTATAGTTTTTTTTTTCTTTTTTATATCTTGCATAAGCCACTGAAAATCAAAACTCAGGTTTGCATGTCCAAGAGGGATAGTACTCTAATTAAAATTTGAGCGACACTTTGTCTTTGATACTGTTACACCTCGGTATACCTCTTTAAAGAGACTTTGATGTACAAGAGAAAAAAATATACCTTACTTCTGATAAAACGCTTCTGGAACATCGCACAGCGAGTGAGTGTTGAATTGAGCTTTTGATTATGGCGAACACTCCGGCTACTTCAATGTATACTTCAAAAAGCAACCACTTTTGTGTGAACATGTATGCGAAAAAGAAAAAGTAATCGGGATCCTATCATGAGCAAAAAAAAAGAACTATTAAGCAAAAATTGTTTCCAATTGGCCACTTTATAATAATAAGCAGATTCATTGTTGTTTATCACATAAAGAAACCAAATGCATGTGAATTAAGAATAAATGATTTATTTGCGTAAAGAAACAATGTTGCATTATAATATGAAGAAAAAAGATATTTTAAAGCTAGTAGCAATTGTATTCTTAAAATCTATGCATTTATGCTTATTTTTTGGAGTGGACGGAATGTTTGTCTTGTTTATACCTTTTAGGTTTTTGTTCCATATCAAATGGAATACAACAAAACAAACTATCTCTTATAAATGACTATAGGTAACCTGTCTACGTATTTTTTTATTCCGTGAAAAAGAAGCTAACTTTCTCATCAAAAATCATTTCATAACTATGGATTTTTAGTTGAACTACTATGATACGGCTATTTTATTTTTTCAGATATCGTTAGGGAGCAATAAATCCACAATAACATTTTTCGTGTCGACATACGCCAAGCATTGTATAACCAGTATCTATATCAAGACAAGTATTATCGCAATCGGTTTGATGTCTGCAAGAAAAATCACAGGTTCTTTTCTCTAGTCTTTGAGGCAATACGACATCTTTGTTGATATCAAATGCATGAACCATATAGCATGCCAATGCTAAAAACAATAAAAATTTGGACTGATACTGACGCATTATGGTGAAAACAAAATAAGAATTGTGCATTGTATTTATATTTATTTGATATACAGGAGGGCGTATTCTCTCCTTAATGCATGAGCCAGGTTTGACAGGAGTATATGCGTTTCTGTCTGTACGAGAAATGACAACATATTGTTGCACAGATAGACAGTTTGTTGTAACAAAGAAAGAAATACATTAAGATAATAATAGTAGATTAAGTGGTCCCTCAAAAAGGGAGAAAAAAGAAAGAAAAAAAGGAGGTTTACTGATTTTCAGAATAGCATGGAGGAGGGCCCCATTCAGGCAAATGAGAAGGCGAATAGGAAGCAGATAGTCTATCATTACTAATGCTGCTCTTATTACTCTTGCTACTATTGTTACGGCCACTGTTAGGCAAACTGATATTGAGAATGTTGTTGTTGCTCAGGATAGAAGCCTTAAGTCGTTTGTATTCACAAGGACAAGGTACATGGGATCCCCAACCTGACACAGAAGTAATAGGCTCACGCTGCTCCCAAAAAGTACTTGTGGACCAATTGTTTTCACGGTAAGAACGACTATCACCAGGCACGTAGCTAGGAGGAGGAGGAAGAATTGTTTGGCATTCATCATCAGCTGCTACTAAACGGCAACAAAGGATACGAGAAGGGGTATTAAGACACAAATCGAATTCTTGACCATTGCATTCAACTGTAACTATGAGTTGTGTCCAGTGAGTAATCTTGATGGATTCATAACTCATGCTTGGGTTCAGCATGTTAGAACAATCTGGTACAGGCAACACAAATCGACCACCAAAATACTCGCCTAATTTGACAGGCTGATTCAGCTGTTTCAAGTTGATAAGCTCAGGGTTTGCAAGCTCTGAAGACGAAAAAGAAGGTTCACCTAGTTCAGTTTCTTGTTGTACATTTTCGATGATAAGTTTCTTTTTTTCATCTACACTATTTAAAAAAGATTTACTGTGTCCAGGTTCAGGAGGATCGAAATAAAAGAGACCTTGACTGTTTTCTGTTCGATGATAAACGTATTTTTCACTGCTCTTCTTGAGATCGGATGCTTTCTTTTTGCCCTTGTTTTTGTAGACCATGGTTTCTTCCTCTCCCATAGGGTGTCCATAGGCCCATTTCATGACCATCTTGACACCTTCTGAGATTTGCTTCGTTTCAGGCGAGGTTGTCTTCCATGTATGTCCCGCAGGTACTTTCATGGAATAGTTTCGAGACTCAGTGATCTTGAGCAAAACAGACTTGACAACAGCATCTGCCATAGTAGGTTCAATCATAATTTCGACACCAATGCTGGTTCCAATAGCAACAGCTGTACGATCAATCCCAATCTTGTACCGAATACCTTGTACATCAGCCAAGGCGTGAGTAGAATGATGTAGGTTGCCTGAGGCTCGACCAGCCAGAGAAAAAGCCAGTTGGTCATGCTGTTCATCGAAAGAGCCTGAGTAGGCATCTAGATTACGTCTATTCCAAGGAAGGGGAGGCTGCTGAGCAGTGGAAGATGTTGATGGATGATGGTTACTACTAATGCTATCACTGTTATCTTCAACTGCAGTGCTACTTGTTTCTGTATCATTATTCTGTCGTATCGTATTTGTAGTAGGCAATGTGTCTGAAAAAACTGATTCCATAGCACGAACAATGCGAATAGGAGAACAGGCAACATATTTCTTCTTGAAAGTAGTACGACGAGCCCATTCGATCCAGTTCACAGGATTAAATGAGTCAATAGACTGGAATTCTTCGTGCTGAGAAGTAGAACGACGGAGTGTTGCACTAAGTTGATAAAAAATTTCAAGACGGTCTGGAATTTCGACGCTCATAGGAAGTGAAGAAGGAATTGGAAATTCAAATGGGAAGCGTTGTACGCCTGAAGGCATAATTCCCTTTGCATTTGGTGGCAATAAAGACAATTCAATCACTTGGAGTTTTGTTTCAATAGCAGAGCCTACAACGGGGCCTTTCATGATATCTATTGACAGGATTAAATAATGAATGATGGTGTTTGTTTGTTTATTTTTACCTTTCCAAGGATAGAAACGTTGGATGCCCTCAAACAAAATCTCGATAGGACCTTGTATCTGTGTATCTTTTTGGAAATCGACAATCACTTCACCACGGACCATGACAGAACCCAAAGATTCCTCAACATAGAGTCGCGGTTGATCCAATACAACTTTGAGTACTTCTTTTTTAGAACCAATCCTAAGTGACATTTGAATAAAAGAAAAAAAAGAAAAAAACTAAAAAAGCATGGTTTATATAGTTCTATAGAATCTATCGTCTCACAAAAAAGATGAATAATCCAAATCAAAAAAAAAACTTCAGAATACATCTGTGTATGATACAACAATTCATCTCTTAAGTCTGGTGAAGAGTAGATTATCAAGATAACATTGATCATTTCTATGGTCTATATTTCTCAAAGGTAGCAGTTACACTTGAGCATATGGCCTTTTTTAGAGGATTTCTTTTGGGTAATGATCTACCAATATGTCGAAATGAGTCAACAATTTTCTCCACTTGAAATTGGTTTTGATTATGCATATGACCTCATCACTGAAGCTTAAATTACATTGGTAACCCAAAAAAAATAAAAAAATAAAAAATGCTGAATAAGACACACGAATTTGTATTGATAAGGTCACAAGTACAATGCGAGAGAATATACACTTCTTAAATCCGAATTTTCGGACGACTACTTTTTATAAGGTCAGTTGTTCTTTATCGACTTCTTCAAACCTTTAAAAGGTAAGCTGTTACTTTTTTGTACATGTCGCTATCCAACCATGTCTATCCTACGTGAGATAACCTTGAACGCTCAGCCGAAATTGTTCAATTTAAGGCTTTTATAAATGAAATGGGAGATTTTGAGATTGTTAAAAGTCAAGCCTATTCAAGAATTAAGATGGCATGCAGTACTCACACCTCTTTTTACTAGAATAGCGTTTGCAGAACAAGTAGAAAAACTTCAACGGACATCTTGATAGAAACGCATTTTTTGTACAATCTTACATACTCTATCTTTTTAAGAGATGTTGAGCCTTTCTACCTTTTCACCAAAAAAAAGGGTGATACGGACAGATGACTGATCCCAAAAAAAAAAGAAAAGACGAATCTCGTCTACTCCTTCCTTTGTAAATGCAACAGATATCTCATACCTATATAGACCAAATTCATTGGAAACTTTTTATCGATAAATCTTAGGGCTCTAAAGATTAAGAAAAGCCAAAAAAATAAAAAACAGCCTGATATTCATCAGCAGATCCTTAAATATAATGGGTATGAATTTACAACTTTACTTTGACATACACAACAAATTAATCATTTTTACTTAATGTTTTATAAAATGCAGTCTTCAAATTTGAGCTGCTGGAATAAGAACTAAAAAAACTTTCGCTTTTTCCTGCTTCATAACATGTTTTCCAGTCCATTCTACCTTCGTCTTGTTTGAACTGCTTAACATACTCTAAATTCATACCCATTATATTTAAGGATCTGCTGATGAATATCAGGCTGTTTTTTATTTTTTTGGCTTTTCTTAATCTTTAGAGCCCTAAGATTTATCGATAAAAAGTTTCCAATGAATTTGGTCTATATAGGTATGAGATATCTGTTGCATTTACAAAGGAAGGAGTAGACGAGATTCGTCTTTTCTTTTTTTTTGGGATCAGTCATCTGTCCGTATTACCCTTTTTTTGGTGAAAAGGTAGAAAGGCTCATTTGCGTTTCCTTTTCTTTCCAATACTTAAGAAAAGGAAAACAGAATGTTATTCAAGACTTCAAATTGTGTTTTATGTATCTTTAAAGTTACTTTTTTTTACCTTAAAAAAGAAACACATACATAAAAAAAAAAGTCATCTAAATGTACTCTGTTGTCCAATGAAAAAGCCAAATCTCGTTATGAGGCAAACTCGACCAATTCTTTCAGTGAAATGACCAATTGACGGTGGAAACACTGTAAGAGCTACAAACATCCAAAAGAAGAAATCACGTGCAAAGCTGATAATAAGACGTAGTTTAAGTGTTGCGACTTACAAAAGAGCTCGGAGACATAGTTGTTGTAGCATTTGCAATTTGGTTACTCAATACAATTCTCAATTGTGCCCTTTTTAGAACAGCTACAACTATTTTAAAAATACTCGGTATCCTGATATCCGTGTGACAAAATGACAATAAAAAGACAAACTAAAAATAAAGATGTTCCATTACATAGTGTATTTCATTGAGCAAAAAAAAGAGAGAGGGTATTAATCATAATAGTAATAATAATAATAATAATAATAATATAAATCTAAAATCTACAAAATGCCCTATAATTATACCATATAAGTAACATACACAAAAGTACAAAAAACTTACTTGAGAATAATATTGAAACGTATCATAGAGTCTTGTAAACATGTTACAACAACTACTCATGATCAATTTGTCCACAAACTCTTCTGCTTGCGGTTCAGTCAGATGTAATTGAAACCGATCTCTGAGTTGAGCTACTGTCAAGTCACCATTTTGAAAGCAAGGCAGTTTGGAATCTTTAGACATCATTTCTGTCAACAGCAAGATATTCTCGCTGTGCTTTCTAACTGCCAAAAATGCTGCTTTCATCAATGCCTTGTACTCTGCAAATTTCTCACCATGAACACCACCTAGAATATCAATGTATTCTTGTGATAATTTGAAAGGTGCCATTTCAAATCCCACAGAACCAGGTGAGTTGGATAGCATAAACCCAAAATCAATATGGATTAAGTGACCTGCATCATCAATCAGCAAGTTGCCATTGTGTCTATCTTTAATCTGAAGAACATAACAAGCAATGGAATAGCCAGCAAGGCTTCGCATAAATGCATCTTGTGCCTTAATGAATTCGTCTGAATCTGATGAACCATACAACTATAATCAACATCAGCATTGTTCATCTCTGTACGCTTTCTTTTCTTTTTTCTTACCTTTTCAAAATAATCATAAAGTGTAAATACAGCTCCCTTTTGATTCCATCCTCTGGTATAAGCATCCTTTTTGATAGAATGAATTGAAATGGTATTCTTGAGTGTCTCTATTAGACCAGATCCATCTGAAGTTACTAGCACTCGATAACTAAACACTTGTCAATATAGAAAGTATAAATGATAGACTTACTATTTCACCCAAACATCTACGCCTGTGTCTTCCCAAATACGTTGCATTTCTCGAATTAATTGTATCGCAAACTGTTCTTGTCTTAGATCAGCACCATTCTTGACAATAACTGAGATCAATCGCCAATTAGGTAAATGGCCATAAGGAGAAGCAGCACGTAATCTCGCTTTCTTTGTTTCCCAATCTTCGGACAATACAGCAGCTACAGTAATATGATTAAACCATCTGATATATATATATATGTATATATATATGTATAGCTATATTTACCACTGGGATCTTCTTTGTTGATAACTGAAGCAATGCGTTGCTCGTCTTCTAACATGTCACTACCTGCACCTTCTCCCCCAGTTCCGCCTACACCACTACTAACACCTTCTTTCTTCATTTTCTTCATACGTTGTTCTTCTAAACAAACCATTTCTTTAATGATTCGTTGTCGGATCTGGTCTGTACTCTTATTATTTGCTGTAGGTGATTGTAATTGAGCCAACATGACTGCTGCTGTTCTCATTCCTTCGGCATATGTATCTTGTCCATGTAATTTACGTGGCTGAATCTCTTCTACCTTTGGCGTATCTTGTTTAGTCTCTAGACACTCTCCTATATCTGCTGAGGATACAGATTCAACAGGCGTCTTTTGCTTTGGTTTCTTCTTTTTCTTTTTAAGCTGTTGCTTCTTGAGACGATAGAGTGCGTCATCTTCAAGGGTCATTTCATCGTCCAAGACTTCCAGCATCAACAGATAAGGCGCACGTTCAGCTGAATTCAATACAACTGCATCAGAGGGACTGATACGAACTACACGATGATGATAGGGTTTCTCTACTGTGGCAGGGCACCAAAGTGGTAAGCATATTTCAGCCGGCAAATTGTGGTTGAGTAAGGTCAATTCGGCATGGAGTGCACTCATGCGTGCTTCTTTAGGTACAATCACTAAGCGAGTAGCAATATCGACCAAAGCTAGCAAGAACTGCATTTCAGATCGGAAATAATTACTCCTTAAGAGTGATTTGCGACTGTCCATGTTTAACAAATTGAGCTGAGTGGATATTGTCTGTTCCTGTTCTGAGGAAGAACTATCGTCCTCACTATCTTGACTGATGGATTCAAATGAAGTAGAGAGTTGGGTAGGGTGATGCTGTTGCCTTGGCATGGATATAATAGCTTCTTCAGAAGAAGAACATGCTGATAAAGTAGGTGAAAAGGGTGCTGTATTAGTCGGCACAGAAGATTGGCCCAAAGCTGTCAATTTGGGATCAAACACAGATAGGTTAGCTAGTCTTTTCTTTGCTAAACTTGTTTGTAATGAAGAGGAAGAAGCTTCGTTCTGTGAATCTTCTTGACTGAGTTGTATCATTTTCTTATTGAGTTTATGCTGTGCTGTTTTGATATACCTGGAAACAGAAAATGCTTTTCCTCGGTGTAAATCTTCAAGAGAAGGTGAGCTTGTGAATGGATAGAAATGATTCTTTTTCTTTAAGCTTAAATCGGGTTGAGAAGTAGAGACAAACGCTGGCTTAACCGGATTGGTGTCTGTTGTTGGGTTTGTTTTTGAGATTGGATCTTCAGACAAGATATCCGAAGGAATAAATGTCTTTCTGCCTTGTGAAATGGCAATTCTTCCAGCAGGCTTCGTCAACAAGGGCTGTCCAATACCCAACAACATGGCACCCATACCCACAAGAGCAGGTAATGCATTCTCACGTACTTTCTGTGTATTTTGTATGACATTCTTTTCTTCTTCAAACACAATCGCTTGAGACTTATTTAACAGTCGCTTACATAGTTCAAATGAAGGACTGGATGGATTGACAGACAGATCAGAAAGATATGCTTGTAAATACCACAATGTCTATTTTTTTTAAAAAAAAAAATTAGAGTAGATAGAATTAAATATGAAATTACCATTAATGCAATATGGGTTGACTTCTCACACATTTCTATAATAAAGCATTCAAGTGCAACTGATTCAGAAGGACTTGTAATTAATAAATGACTACATATTGTGAGTTATTATTTTTTTTAAGCTAAAATGAATTACATGAGTTGGGGCAAAAAGAACTCGATTTCAGATATAGGAAATCCTTTTAATTCTGTACACAAATAATGCTGAATACCCACATTATCTGAATATCGAAACAAGTAAGAGACTGCTATCCAAGAATTAAAAAACTCGGAGGTAAATAGCCTTAATAAGAGTGCATTTGACATGACTAGTAGCAGATGAGAAGACAAGCGAGTTGTTTATGTTATTCTACCTCTATTTTAGTTTTAGAAAAAAGAAAAGAGAGAAAGAGTGAAAATGAGAAAAATCGCGTATGTATGGATTCAATATCCGATCGTCACACTCAAGCTGTTTTTGCAAGCAAACACTTGGTTTTTTTTTACTCTTTCTCTTTATGTCCGAGCAACCAGAAACAAAGAGAAGAAGACTTACTTTAGCGTGTAATGTCTGCCGAGCAAAAAAGGTAGATTTCTTGGTATAAAATAAAATAAAACATGTATTCACATATTAGATCAAATGCGATGGGATAAAACCAGCTTGTGGCAAATGTATCAAATTTAATAAAGAATGTACATATACTTCAGTCATTAGAAAAAGAGGACCAAAACAAGGACATATTGACCTGCTAGAGCAGCGCTTAAAGAAAATGGAAGAACTCATTTCAGGCACACGGCTTATACCTGATATGACACAGCAACAACAACCTTCTATTCAACCACAAACTATTCAACAGCCACTACCAATAACACCAACACCAAAAATAACACCACCAACAATAGCACCACCAATAACAGCACCACCAGCAGCACCAGCGCCACAGTTCTCTTATTTCAACTCTACCTCACCACCCCAAACAGAGAATACATGGCCTGATTCAGATACAATAGACCATCTTGTACCGCTCTTTTTCAAGCATCTCGAGGTGTTCTCGCCCTTTGCAAATCCAACAGGATTAATGCAATCTATAAAAAACAAGACTTGCAAAAAATTCTTACTTTGGTCTATCTTGAGTGTCGCAGCAAGGTAACATCAAAATGGTATGATTAGCTTGGCTGACTATTCAATTAGATTCTCAAATAGATTAACAAATGTTGGATCCCCTCGGTGGATGTCTGGCGAGAAATTCTCTGATGAAGCAAGAAAGTTAATACCAGAAGTGATTGAAGCACCTTGCTTAGAGCATCTTCAGGGCCTTTTAATCATGGCTCTTCATGAATATGGATGTGCCCGAGGCCCCCGTTTATGGACATACAGTGGTTTGGCTATTCGAATGGCATTGGAATTAGATCTTCATAAAGAACCTATGGCTGAACAAGAAGATAAATTGATGAGTATGGATAATTGGCTTTGGTATGAGACACAGCGTAGGACATTTTGGCGTACATTTATCGAGGATAAAGTGACCAGTGCAACCACAGGCAGACCACAAATGATGGATGTAGGAGATGTGAGTACACTCTTGCCTGTCTGGAATAGTGCGCTTGATTTCAATAGCATAAATGAATTCTATCAACAGTCGCTGGATGGCTCTGAATTGATCTGTTATCGAGTTGTACGCGATCCACATACAAGAGACATCAAAGGAATTTTAGTGACACCTATTGACATGTCTATACCAGCCAATATGCCTTTGTTGAGCCACATTGGACTTGATTCCCGCTTTATAGAGCTGTTTGTCATCGCAGGCAAAATATCACAGTTCATCAACCGAGGCTATAAAGACGATGCCTCCTCTTCTTCTGTAATAGAATCAACGGAAATCGAGAACCTGAATGAGAGATTGGACGATTGGGTTGCTCGACTGCCCTTGTCACTCAGAAATACACCTGCCAATTTGGAGCATTTTCGAAACGAAACATCCCATAAGGCAACACAATTTGTGGTATCGCATGTTTTACATAACGCACTGATTGTCTTGCTGAACCGGCCATCGCTTGTACTGGCAGACATGCCTCAGCTGAATACCACTTCTTCTCGTATACAAGAGAAAATACACCAATCTGTAGACCGTTGTTTAGCTGCTGCTGATAATGTCACTGTGATGTTAAAGGATCTCTATTCGAAGGTAGACATTGTGCCTCCTTTGGTCATCTATTTTGTCTATATTACAGCTACCGTCATGGTCAATAATGCATTCTCCACGAATCCTACTCATTGTCAAAAAGCAGAAAGGGCGCTAGATGAGTTTTATCAATTTTTTAATGATATGAAGACATTCTGGGCTATGACAGACAAACTGTATTTCCTGATTCGCGATTTATATGCTGTCCACAAAAAAGCATTTTCAACACATAAACATAGCCAGCTTATAGGCGACGGCGATGAACGCTTCAGACTCAAGTCTCCTCTGGCGGACATGTCTTCATCTACTAGTGACTATGCTACTGAACTCGATTGGCAAAAACAAGGTACACAAGAACCAGGAGCATTTAGCTTTCCAAAAGTTAATAGTACAAACCTCTCTCCTTTTGATGTTTGGTTACAGGAACAGCAATTAGCACAAAAGAAGCAATAAAATCTTTGTTTTTACTTGAATACATAAGCTCATATGCAATGTACTTATTCATGCAGTGAGAATGGTAAGCGCTGTTACTTTACGAAAACAAAATTCAATTTGCCAAAAACAACTGCCTTTCGACAAGAAGCATGATCGAAAATCAAGATTCATTTAATAAGGTATGGTATACCTTGAATGTTCAATTTCTATTACCAATGAATGGAGAATCGAAAATGAAGTAGCAAGCTCGATCTGAGGCATTGGAGATCTCTGGAAGAAAACGTGACAATAACGGCTAAATAGCAAGTGTCATCTACCATAAGCTTATATTATTTCAATGATCTTCTACAGACCAAGCGACGTTAAAGATTTGCTTTGTTCTCGACAACGACATCATCTATATTCATCCTGTTAATTTTTATTTTTTGCAATAGTATATGCTAAAATTAAAGCCATTATAGATATCGAACTAGCATGTTTATAAAACAGTTATGCTTCTTTTCAATAAGGACATCTTTTGAACAATTTTTTTTAATGATAACTTTCAAAAGCAAAGGAATAAGTTATTAGAAACTATTGTTGTGAACATATATGAATTCATATGTATAGATCAATAAATGATGATCATGGCAAAAGACCAGATCACATATATGGCAATTGCAATGGATCTATAGTCACTGACATTCACTCATTCTACTAGAAGTACTACATCGTCTTCATAGTCAGAGATTATGAACCTAGTGACTCTGTTATTATTAATGGCCCTCATAAAGTGACAGTTAGAGCTGACAAAGACATTGGTATTGGTTTTATTTGTTGCACGTATCAATTAAAATTGAAAGTGGTGCTCAACAATTTTTTTTTTGTTTGAAGGAAAAGATATTCTTATAAGTAAGCAATGGCATTAATAGAAGGTAAAAAGAAAAACGCGAAAAATAATTACTCGTCGACAAAAGTGTCTTCTTCATGACAGCGTTGAATTGCTAATCGACATGAGCGGAAGACAGCGAGAGGAGAAAAAGGAACATTATGAAAGACGTGGAGCCAGTGAGCCTTCCACAATTCAGAGATTGCTATAGTTAGGAGCATAGGCGAAGAAATAGGGCACGAGGTCAGTACTTGAATTTTCCTAAAGTTGAGGCAGTTAAGAGCTTCATATATATGGTCAATAGTAGTGCCAGGCCATAAATATTCTCGAATAAGGTGGTCCCAATAGATAAATTTGACAGGACAGCGAAAAAACAAGTGATAAATGTCCTCAACATCACCACAAAGACAACAAGAAGGAGAGGAATGAGCAGTAGGCAAGAAATGCGATAAAAGCCGTTGGGTAGGGATAAGGCGATGTAGCAACCGATATATAACATACGTTGTACGGTAGTGAGTGTCAATCGCCAAAATCGGGACCATGAGGCATGTGTGATCTCCTGTTGATGCAGAATAGAGCTATTATGACTCTTAGTAATATGATCTCGAAAGGCCTTGCATGACGTGCTAGGGTTGCTAAGAGATGTTTCATCCATAGACAAATGTAAGCGACGTCGGAAAGAGTAAAAGCCCAAAGACTTTTTGATGGCTGGGACTTGAGCAGCGTTGTAGAGGCTGAGCGATGTTGGCCTCATACATTGTATAAACCAAGGGCTTAGAAGACAATTACCGTTAGCGGTAGCGTTTCGGAAGCGAGTAACCGAATTGGAGTTAAATGGAATATCCGTTCGTAGTCGTTTGGGAGACAGGAAATGACCAACAAGGTGATATTCGTAAAGGTCAGAAACAGCAGCATTTGTCAGAGCTCGAGGTAACATATAGTGACAAGCCGGGTCAATTATTGCGCGTAGAGGCAACAGCAAGGCATCCAAAGGGCAAGGTATGTAAGTGAATTGCCGCCGAGGAATGATATCTACGGTACGACATACCAAAGTAATGGTTGAGACGTTGGCACCTACAATTCGAGGCCTGGTAAGTGGGAAAAGAAGACACATGAGAACGTTGGAGGTTTTAAATTGATTGGCCAAGTGAACATATAAAAATTGTTGAACCAAAGAGCGCTCAGGTCTTTCGAAAAGCAAAGGATCAACCCATTTGTAGAAGAGCGCAAGTTGTTGTATTGAGGGATCTTGGATACCCAATCCACCAAATCGTTTATTCGTAGTCATTACCTTCCAACTAATTTAAGGAAGAATTTGACGACTGACAAAGCCAGAGACAATGGATTGGATGTTGTTGTGAGATGAAGAGAGAGTAGATATTCAATAAGAGAAAAGGTAAGAACACAGAGAAAGTCCGTTAGAACTTGTATAGGTTTTTATTTCTCCAAGAAAATGTTATCTTTCAATTGCTATAAAATGTCAAGGTATTTATACTTTTTCTTCTCGGTCAAAATATTGTTTTGGGTTAGCTTCTTGACTACGGATTGATTTGTTAGATCAGGAGCAATTAAGAGAAATATCTTCAGAGGAGGTTGTCAGCTCAGCCAAGAGTACATGATCTGACCTGAACTTGAATAAATTATTACATGTTTGCCAAATGCCAATACCGATGTCATGGCTCTTTCACATAAAAATCAAAACCAAAACTCGACATCTGCCAAACATGGTTATCGACACGACCAAACCCTATCTTGGGCTCAAATTGCGCAACGACAAACGCTATCTTACCAACCAGCAACCAAGATGCAACCATCTAAGGACTTGAGCGACTCGTCATCCACTGCCTCCAAGTATGCTCATCAGATCGACGATCTTTTGCACACCAGCATCCGTCCCTTTATTCAAGGACTTGAAGACGATAGTACACTTATTGATATAACCAACATTAAAGACCTCAACGGCTTGAAACAATTCTTTGGCTCTTTTGACACAGACACATACTTTCCTACTTTGGAACCTTGTTAGTTGAACGCCGCTATCTTCAACCTCGTTTCATCGAAACCTTTTGGGATAAGGAGGCTGCTGAGTATCAATAACTTATTGGGGATGGATTGACAATGGACGGCGGTATTGTGATCAAAGATTACCCCAGTCTCCCTTCTAACGCAAAAGTAGCCCGCGTGAAGGTCGAACGCTTGCCTTTCAACAATCCTTTAAAGTTGAGAGACTTGATATTTCAGCGATTTAATCATTTTGGAACTGTTTTGGATGAGGTTTACAATTGGATGGCAAGTCATTATTTGGGCAAGGATATGTTATTTTAGACCTGAATCGACCTCATCCAACTATGCCAGAAACCTTACGACGAGAAATTGATTGGTTCAACGACGGCAAGCGCATGCTCCGCCTCACCTGGGATGAAATGCCACCTTACTGTCGCTACTGCCATGTGATGATCTGACATTAAATAAGTCTTCATTTACATACTAAAATATATCATAATCAATTTACATCAGAAATAGATATAAAAGAACCTCTTGTACTGAATAAGACAATGTATCTTTTAATAGATCGAGACTCATAACCGAAATTCATAATTTACATTATTTAATTAATTTAAAGTAGTCTATGATAATAGAGACTCAGTCATTTGCATGAACTCTACTACTACTTACTCCGACATCTCTTCATGTATAAATATGCTAGAATAATTTATAATCAAAAAGAAGAACAATAAAATTGTATAGAACAGTCTCAAAGTATCTACCTTTGTCTCTATATCATCTTATTATATAACTCTATTATCAAAACATCACATTTTTTACTTTGAATTCTATTTTTACAATGTCCAACCAAAACATCAACTCTGGCTTTCGTTCTTCTTCTCCTGCTCCTGTTTCTCAAGAACACTCTCCTGCTCCTAGTATTCCTGCTGTAGATGAAGCCATGGATCTTAGACCTGATTCTTTTGAATCTCAAGAAAATGTGCCTATTGACATTGAAGAAGTTACATCTGCCAATCTTGCTGCCACTGCCAAAGAGAATCTGGACCGTCTCAAAACTGAACTCAAGGTTGCTTATGGTCACTACCTTGCCTACCAAAAGGTTCACCCACAAGCTGAAAATACCAAGCATGCTTATGAAGTCTATAAACAAGCCGAGGTCTTGTACAAAGAAGCAGACGAAGCTTATAAGGTCTTCTTGGCTATGGAAACTCCCAACGTGCAAGTAGACAAGAGAAGTACTTTGGTTCCAGCTGGTCTTCCTTTCTTGCAGCTCAAGACTGATACAGTGATTAGCAAGAAAAATCAAGAAGTCTTCGATTCTGTCTACGATTTCTGTATGCAATTCAAGACTGTCTTGGAAGCCCACTCGTTGAATATGGATGACAACTGGGAACGTCTTTTGCCTATGTCTCTTAACAAGGAAGAGAAATCTTGGTTTGATGAAAAATTAAGAAACAAATGTCTGTCCTGGAGGGAAGCTGAATCGATGATCTTGGATCATTTTGATACCCCCTATCGCAAGTTTTTGTTGATGGTAAAGGTGTGGTCCCTCAAGCAATCCCATGGTGAATCAACTCGTTCCTTTGCTGCTCGCTTTCAGAAGCTTAGAAGACAGGCAGGTTTAGCCGATGGTTTACAACTGGTGTTGAGTTTTTGGTGTGCCCTGCGTGAGTCCGTCCGTCGTGTTGCCTCTGTTGCTGTGTCCTCCCAGTATGGAACAAAATTGCCAAGTAAAATCGAAGACATGGTCGGTTTGGTAATTGCTGCCACTAATGACACTGATTTGTTCTCTTCTTCGTGGGACGCTGCTGGTCTACCTAGCTCTTCTTCGGGTTCTGGTTCATATAAGAGTAACAATGAGCGTAGTCGTAAACGCAGTTACTCACCCATATTTGCTGGTAAAGGTTCTTCGGAGTCTAGCAAGCCCATTTATGCACCAAGTTCAAGTAAGAAACCTTGCACGTACTGTGATAAGCCATGGTCCCATGGTCACAGATGTGATGAATTCAAGGAGGCTAAGGCCGCCAAGAAACAGAAGGTTTCAAGAATGGCTGTGCGTGGTGGTTGTTCTTCTTTGGATGATGACGCTGATATGAAGAACAATGATAACAGTGATGATGACACTGATGAAAATGCTCGTTTGGCTCGTTTGGCTCTTGATTGTAAGTCTAAAAACAATATAACAAGAGATTTTAAAAACATAAGTGCTAACATTACCTTTCCTATCCTTGTCAATAATTCTATTAGAACAATGTCATTGTTAGATTGTGGTGCTGTCTTCTCCTCAGTTGACAAGTTATTCTGTCTAGAAAATAAGATAAACATTAATTATATAAATCATATCAATAAAGATCTTATTAGTAAAAATAACTTACACAAGTATTTCATAAGACTTGCTGATACAAATACATACGTCAAAAGAATAGGAACTTGTACCTTAAGCGTTAGTTGCAATAGTAAAACTATAAAACGTACTTTTGAGGTTATGAATCTTACCAATAATAATGAGTTCTCGCTCAGCATTGGAACCGATTACATGTACACATTAGGCATTGGAATCTCTGGATTACCTTTGTCATACGATGATAAAGATACTACTGAAGAAGTGCTTGAAGCAGATAGACGCTATAGCAATACTAGTGATCTTCTAGAATCTTTAGAAAAAGAAAATAAGATGAGTGATCATAATCCTGCTTGTAATGCTGATGAATATAAAGCTGCAATGGATTATATTCAACCTTATATTGATAATAACCAAGCTATTCCAAAAGGATCTTTCTGTACTATACCTGAAAGTGTGGTATGTCTAGATACTCCACCTAATGTAACAGCGTATAAGAAACCCTATCCTGTACCTTTGAAGATGATGGGCGTACGTTGAGGACGGAAACCACCTTGCGCAATGTCCAGTGTAGGCGAGTGTTCATGAAGACAATCAGCTATTGTAAACTCAAAGAGCTTACGCATGACTGATGTCAACGAAATCGGTCGATAGTTGGACGGATCAGAGGGATCACCTTTTTTGTGTATCGGGTATACATTAGCAAGACGCCAGAGAGAAGGAGTATAAGCCCATTGATAACACAGGGAGAACAGGAGAGACAAAAGCGGGGCAAGGTCCTTGGTCACGTGTGATATAATCACTAATAAAATGGTCAAATCAATAAGTCGATTAGAACCAAAACGGCCAAAAGAAGTCTGCTTTATTAAAGGTTATATTTTGTATTGTATTTATACTGTTTGTATGATAATTGATTATCCTTAATTTGGGACTGAGTGTGTATACACTAGCTAATCGGTTGAGTGGATTAAGGTACACAAGAACTGGGTACATGATCAGGGCACAGACCTCGTCTACCATTGGTATTGATGCAGATGTCAATTTGTGATTATGTGATGGTCTGATCTTTAACATGTTTAAACTAAGATAGAAGACATCCATCGAAGCTGCGGATAAAACTGTGATTGAAAGATATATTTATACATGATATTAATACTTGCTCTTTTAAGGCATAACTAGTGTAAGAAGGGATGAATAATGCTGTGTATACAACATCACGGCCTTCAGCATTTCTGCTTTCAGGTGATCGCTTCCAGGTGCCTTCCGAAGAGGTAAACGCTTGATGTGATCCATGATCGTGTCTGCTGAGAACATATCCAGGTTGGATGGCAAGACAAAAGGAACCAAACTATCACAGGAAAGTGGTGGGGGTGGACGAGATTCTGATGGGGGCAACAGAGAGCCAGCATAGACCGAAGTCAAGTGAGTAGCCATAGCATCTACTGAAGCTTTAGGACCATCTTTGTGAGCATAAGTACCGGAACAATCACGTCTTCTTTTCATACGAGAGAGGGTGCCAGTGGCTTTAGAAAAGTCTTGTTCCAACTGAGCACAGAAGTTCTTCCAAGAGAGACGCTTAGCTTTAGCAACAAGACGACGAAAGTGACGATGTGCATCATGATGCAACGACCACCAGTAAGCTTTGTCAACACCAGAGGCATGACGCCACCTACTATAACAGCGATCGCGTTCTCGAGCTGCTGATTCGATATCAGGAGTCCAGTACTTCTTCCACCATTTTCCAGACCGATGTTGTCTTGCACCAACCGACCCATCCAAAGCCTCGTAGAAGCACCCATTAAGAGTAGCATTCAACTCGTCAATATCAGGGCGTTCAAGCGGTGGCGCAGAGACCAGCTGACTCAGAGTAGATTCCAGAGGAACTACAAGCGAGCGAAACTTGCTTTGGAACAGTGCCAAAGGTTCCTTTTCCCGCAAGCGAGATAGGTTCCAAAGGCGTCGTGGAGCAAGACCGTCAGAGCCAGCATGAGCCCCAGATCCCAAAGTAGAATCATAGTCGAATGACAAAGTCATCAACCGGTGATCAGACCCAAGGGAGAGATCAGATTCTACTGCGATTTGAGCACCACGCATATTCCACGAGGAAATATTTGTAATGAACAAATCGATGATACTACTCATTTCCATACCACGTCGAAACGTTGTAAAGGTGGGCACACCACGACAAAGAGTAGTATTCAGCACAGCCAGGTCTCGTTGTTCAAGCCATGCACGCATAGCAAGACCACGCGAGTTGGTAGCGGAATCACCAGTGAGATCACCAAAGCGAGCATTAAAGTCACCACAGAGGATAGAGTCAGAGTTGAGAGGAATAGAAGAGAGGGCGGATAGCACCAGCTCATTAGAGAGACTGGGTGGAAAGTACGAACAATGCACATTGACTGCTCCCATTTTGAGTAAGAGAGTATATGCATTGAAAGACGGCAACTGGGTGACAGGAAAAGGACAGGAAGGAGAGACAAGAGCAGAGACACCACCAGAACCACGGTTGTTTGCACCAACTACCTTTGATCCATATAGATGGTGTGGTGATCTGAGCACTTTCAATACAAAATATAATAAATAATCTTTCATCATATAAATGAATAATCACTTATAGCACTATACATTATAAATATAAAGTAAGCACTGTATAATGACAGTAAATAACGGTAACTGGGATAATATGGATATTTACAAATAAGGAAACCATAATTGTACCTTTTGGGTAACAAGGAGAATTAAAGGAGAATTTATATAATCAATTCCCAGGCACACGCTGTCAAGGTGTTAAGTAATCAATAATCAGTAATCATAATTAGTCAATAAATCAGGTAGTATAAAAGACAACCTGGAAAAGATATATTTTAGACAACAATCAATTTATTTTTGTAATAAAGAAGTACTGAACAGTCTCACTGTATTTCTTTGTTTTCTTTTTTATTCTATTCTATTTTCATTTCACAACCCAAACATCACAGATGGTATTGCGACCAATCTATAGGAAGGTAGCCGGCGGTGAGCCAAGTTTCAGTGATAAATAGGATGCTAGTGTTCAAGATATGTGATATAACATCGTGGATGGTCGTGGTTTTTAGGCCATTCGCATTCCAG